ATTTTGTTCCTAAATTGTAGCACATATTACGTTTTAATCTACTGAAGAGCATGCGCAGCAAAAGCATTGACAACAATATTTACACTATAACTACGTGGACGATAAGCAGTGGCAGGGGTTTAGTTCGGAGAATAATAATAATATCTGGCCATAGCAACCAGAGTGAAAGAAAGCTCAACATATAATTTTCCTCACAGCAATATGTATAACATGAATCACCCAACTCAAACACAAAAACTGAATCTTCATGTAAGTAACCAGGATCATACTCCCTTCCAAAGTTCCCATTCTCATCGCTCGGTAAATTCGGGGATCCAAAGTTAAAATTTTATTTCTGCAGTGGCTGGGTTCAATGCCGCTCTGATACACCACTCCCTGGGTCGTACAGTGGGTTCTTGTTAAGTCAGCCCCTCTATGATTTTGATGCATTCGCTCAAAGTGTGTAGAAAATGTATCGACGAAACTAACAACAAAGAGGAATATGACCCCAGCAATCCTCACCAGAATAACTAGCTCGTCCATACAGGCCAAACCAAACTCGCGATTGTGTTATGCGCAACACTAAATCAAACACCAATGAAATTACCGACAATTGTATATATCTCAGTATTTGTCAACAGTAAGGTGAGGTACGGGAGAGTTGAGGAGGGAAACAGCAATGGTATATATCTCAAAACGCTAAAAATTGGGGCGAAGACGTCGGACAAAACTCTGTGACTTTATTTCATGTTCCACTATCAGGGAGTAGCTTACTAGATTGTAGGGCAATTTTCGATAAAGGACAATGGAGTAAATACTGTACAATGCCTATGATTGTTACCACTCCAGCTATACTTGGCCACCGCCATTTGGCCTAAAATTTAGTGACAAGTAAATCCCTTTATTTAATAGCAACTTTTGACCCAGTACACTTTACAGAAACATTTTACTGACATCGAAGATCCATCAATTAAACGATTCTTTTAAATGCAAATTAAATACACAAATCATGTAGCCTATGAAAACATCAGAATTCACTCAGGAAACAACTAATATAGTGGCTCACGAGTGCCTAGAATTCGACAGTCCGGATGAAGCTCACAACACGACATACAACGGTAGCGTCCTCTGTCGCATAACATGGTGATTTGTAGTGCAATTGGTCCTAACCACACAATCCACAAGCTGAAAACGAAATAAGTGGTAAAGTAGACATTCAACATTTAACATGAAGAGCAGGCAAATATCAGTGAACGCGGAAATATTTAATTCAAGCGGATGGCATAGCTTAGCCTCGCAGACGTGTTCATTTTGTACCTGTTTTATTTCGCTTAAAATATATTCTATCTTTAGCCCAAATGTACTCTTCAGAAGTACTAAGTATCACGTTGACAATTGTTACGACACCATAATTTAGTGTAGAAAATGATGTGGTTTCCACGTAAAATCCTGTAGATTATGTAGTCACATCATGATAAATCTACAATTTCAGGATTAGATCTATTATTAGAGCAATACTAATAACAAACTTGGACCATAATTCTACAGATTAACACTTAAACGTTGGTTAGGATGCCCAGATTTCCTCGTCCGTCACACCTCGCTACCAGTAAATCACGTTATCCGCTGGCTGTGAGCTTCAAACCTAAGACGACGTGACTGAGACTCTTTACTGACTGCTAAGCTTCTGTTAATCATCTCCCTAGTCATATCAGATCTACTTAAAGACCAATCGTCAGATGCTTTTCTGAGGAGCATCGGGTGATGAAAAATACCTCGAAGTGCATCTGTATAACCGCAGTTAAAGTAGGAGAGAACAAAAACATACGTTCCCGGTTAAGGCTGAAGATCGTAGTCTTAACTTAAATATGGCTAGTCCGTGACATTACGGATGAAGAAGTGGTCTTGCAAGGCATAACATTTTTCAGATGCTATAGGGTACACAAAACAGTAGATCGAGATATATATTATAGCTGCCTCAAACCCGCAACACCACATTGCACCGAGCTCATCGAGTGAAAGAATCATGCTGGTGTTATTTCAATGTGAACGACACAAAGTACTTAAGTAGAGAAATAAAGAGGTTCCCCCCACGGGTTCTAACACAGAAATATGAGATAATACAGGCTGTTTTGTAGTTAGCATACACAGGGGTTAGTCAAATACTACCAGCTCGAGACTTCAACACTACATACCTAAGTTTCATTTGGGTTAGTACAATCCCTACAGGGTAATTTTATAAGCGACTGGCCACAGCCATCAAAAGTTCAGAACTGGCTGGACATTTATGTGATGCCACGAGATGTAGCCAGAATGGAAAACCACTAAACTTAGATTATTTGGTAATAAATCATTAGTTTCCAGTGGGATTGACAATGGTGCAGTCACGATTCATGTGGTCATGGACGAGATACTCCAGAGGGACGAAGACGTTCCTTCCATATCTTAGCACAATGCGCCACCATGAGGCTGCATCTTCAGCTCTCTTCACGTCCACTAGAATGTTGTTGGCAAACAGTTTACGACCGCTGAAAGATAGAGTAGAATATGGTTCAGAATGTTATTTTACACAATGTACCTCAGGCAAAACTCATGCCTGAAGAGTGACTCTGACTTGAACGAAACACAGGACATTTGCTTCGGGGCCAAAGGAGAGCCTAACACAAGTGGGAAGTCTCCCTGAAAGATTCGTACGTAATGGAAGTGCTGATAAACGAAAAAGTGAGGAAATACATGAATAGAAACAACATTCTCCATGAAGCCCGACACGGGTTTGAGAAAGGCAAGTCCCATGCACACAATCGCCTCAAAGTATGAGTCAGCTGGATTGCCTGCTAGGGTTCAAAAAACCTGTTCATGTAACATTCATGGACTTTGCAAAACCCTTTAACACAGTACGAAACCTACTCTTCATCGAGGAGGGTACAAAAACAGGTTTCATTGACCCAGTTTCACCTTAACTCCGAAACCACACAGAGAACAGGATGTTTCATATTAACGTAAATGAAGTGCATGCAAGCTGAAGAGTCTCAAACATCTGGAGTTCCACAGGGGACCATCACAGGTCCACCTCCCTTCAAAATCTTTATTGATGGCATTCTAGATATAACTATCTCGGCTGAACAGGCCTGTGAAGATGATGCGAGAATTCGGAAGTCCATAAAAAGCAAAAACAATTCACTTGAGCTTCAAAAGGACCCTACCACAATAACGAAGTGGGTAATAGGCCATTACTTAAAACTTCATTTGTTGAAATGTCATGTCATACAGACTCTGTCTCAAGGACACAGACAACCTACGTTCTCTATGAAAATCTCCTCACGACTGCCAAGTTAGAACAAGATAGCGTGCCAGGAACCACAGAAAGCTTAGAAGCCGGCTCAGACTACGTAAAAGATACATCAGAGGTTAGCCTAACTCTACAATTTTGCAAAGAAAAATTGCTACAGTCATCTCATAATTGTTTCTAGCACTGCATAAAACAATCACAGCCTCAACTTGAATTCCAAAATGTCGTCGCACCCCCTCCCTTTATAAGAGACATAACCCTTTTGAACAAAATACAGAGATATTCAATCAATTGGGTGATAGGTTTAAAATATAAATCTCACGAGGATAGACTCCAACACCTGGGATGATTGTCGCCAAGCTACAGGAGAATAAGAGGTGATTTGATAATGGTATACAACATATTAATTGTCCCTAACTACCCCGCCGAGAGCGTATTACGTCATCGCTACGCTCCTTGAGGCAACCCTGGAAAGACTGCACACCTAAGAGTGAACAGCCAAGTAGGCTCTGCCTTTCTCTTGGTGAGAGTTGACTGCATTTGTAAAGCCTTCCTTGCCAGAGTGACCATACCCCTCTCAGTACACATCTTTATGAGGATACCTGATAAACTCGCAGTCAATTTTGAACTACGACCTCCCACTTAAACTATGTGTGCTTGATTCACATCTCATAAGCTACCTACTGCTATCTGTATCAAGTGTCGGTAACTAACAGCAATTGATTGATCACTGTGTGGTGATCAATGTTATGTGTGTCAAGTCCTTCTTGGTGAAGATCGAATGCTATCGACCAAGTTGCAATGTGGCTACCAATCTAGGTGACTCGACACTGAGTGCACTATGCTGAGATTAGATGGTGTTTGGAGGTAGTCAACAGGCAACCATGAACCTAGGTTTCGTAGTATATGGCAGTCGTCAGCAAGGTGTACATGTAATCTTGAGGGAACTGATACTCCCTGACAGATTCGACATAGTGCGCGCAGTGTCGAGTCACCTAGATTAGTTGCCACATTGCAACTTGGTCGATAGCATTCGATCTTCACCAAGAAGGACTTGACACACATAACATTGATCACCATCCAGTTATCAATCAATTGTAAATACATCTCAGTCGTACAGGAGATCGGTCGCGGCCCGGATAGCTCAGTGGTAACGTCTCTGGTTGTGAAGCTGGGTGACGCGGGATCGAATCCTTTAGGGAGCACCAGTTCTCCCAAGATTACATACACACCTTGCTGACGAGTGTCAAGTAGTACGGAACCCGGGTCCAGGGTCTCTTGTAGACTACTTCAAACCACCATCTGTTCAGTAACTGATTCCCGTTTCGTTCATTATCATCTCAGCCTTCGCTTTCATTTCTAGGCCTCTGCCTTGTCCACTATTTATTTCTTTCCTGAAACAATCGTCTTCTCGTATCACTCGAACTTCAATTCATTATTTTTCACAATGCAAACAACCAACCTCCTGACTGGTAATTTGATAGCCCCTGGTATATAGAAACCCTACTTTTCTGAGACAAATGAACCCACATGGATTACAAGACATAAAATTTCATAAATATCTATGAAACTGACTAGAACTAGTGCAACGAAATGATCAGATTATCACTAGTTAGATATTACCGATTACGCGGAAGCAAACAGATATTGAAAGAATCAGATGCAAAAGTTTGCGATATTGGAAGCGCAGTGAGTGAAAGTCTCTTCTATTCCTTTTACAAGTATTGGAACTGTTCGAGTAATGGCTGGTATTTCAAAAGTGCTGTGTAACAGTCGGTAACATATGTCGCTGGCCAGAAATGAGGCACAGTGCTAAGTATGAGGAGGCTTACGGTCAAAAGCAAAGGCTCAGTTAAATAATGTACAAGGTTTGGATGATATTCAATATGTGTGATTCTCTGATGCTCTTACTTGTATGGGAAACCCTTGGACTAAGTGTTGAGAAAGCCTGTTTTGATTTAAATGCACTTGAAATTTAGTACACGTGCCTAATTAATAATACGACGTACGTCATATTGTACAACATTCGGGGTAGTTAGCAGATGCTAGGGCATCGATCGTTATGTATGTTAATTTTAGTCAAAGGGTTTCCCATGTAAATGAGAAAGTAAGAGCATGATTTAAATAATGTTTATTGAGAACGAAGTTAAGCGTTACGAAAATTCCACTGGCTATTGCTGTTCGTAGTGCCTGTTCGACTGTTGAGAATCAAAGTAATCATGTGAATTCTGAAATTCAAAGAGGTCATAACGATATGCAAATGACAATTTATTTTTACACAACTAGCTACGTGAAGCTTTACTTACGGTTATGTTAGTTAACACTGAAAACTGTACCTATAGAACAGTAGAGAACAGTTGTCAATTCGAGGCAGTAGGTGCATGTTCCTGTTTTCTTTGATGACTCGTTGGTAGTTTATCTCACATGCCGTGAAAATAACCTTGCGTCGCAATGTCGCACTGTTTCGCAAGGTCTTTTTCGTTGACAGGTGATGACAGGAACCGATTAGTAAATCCACCTAAAGTTTATATATATATATATATATATATATATATATATATATATATAACTTCGCATGCAGTCGTAAAACCTGCACTTTTGAAGTGCCAAGTAGTGTGAAATGACTGGCAACTTCAGATGTCATTATGTGCGATAAAATATATCGCATTGACGTTTTAGGATTATCATCCATTAACCGCGTCGACATGGCCATCTGTAATAAGAACAAGTGATCAAATTAATTTTGTTGAATTACAAATCTGTCCCTTATGTCTTTCTGTTGCAGACGAGCATCCAACGTCCCTAGTTCCTCTTCAAATGACAAAGGGAACTGTTGACTTGATAGTCCACAATCGAATTTCCGAGGATGTTCGCGCTCATCGAACTGACAGTAGCTGCTTCATATTTACACTCAGGTCAGAAATACCCGACGGTATGTTCTGCAACATGGTATTCACTCTATCAAATCTGTAAAACTTCACTTGATTGTACAGATGACTCGGCTGCCAACGCACTGCCTACACGCCTAAATTCGAACGTTGATGGTGACGTATCTTATTGTGTCAAACTACTTGATTAACATCTACAAAGTAAAGAAACCTACTTGGCAATCGGCGAGGCAACACTGTCGAACAACCGAAATTTGGGATATTTGACATGGCTACTCCCAGCCTGTGTCTCAGCCACATCCATGTCAATGTTTAGTGGCAAGGTGTTTTCCTCCGTCGAGCTGTTTATACATCAAACATCCATTAGTATAATAATAATAAGTACATTTTAGCATTTCATAGTTTTATAAGTTTATTAAATGGGTCTGTTCAAACTATTTAACTTAGCACCACACACAGTGTCTCAGCTTTTAATCATATCAAATATAACCCGGTCAAGTGCACTATGGTTGTCATTAGTTAGTTCATCAGTTGCTCATGACCACGTCGGTCATATCCATGGATATGCAACTGGTTGCAATTTTACTGATTATATCTATGTCCTATCTATGTTACTTTATAATCTTATCATACATGTCTGATGTTTTATCCCACTTAGTCCGCAGAACTCCTTATAGCTGTATTGCTGATATTGTACGCTTCCTTATTTGATTTGGTTTTTTCGTTCGCTCACATACGAAATGTCGTCGTTGCACTTAAAATCGAATGTACATTACATATCATATGGCAGTTGTAATAGGTATCTTATTTTAGAGGTTTAACGGTTGTACTTAATTGACAACTTTGCCTCATTCTCGTCCAACACTTGGGTAGTGTTATTTCAACGTTTTTCATATTTTCTCCATCATGGCGCGTTGTCAATTGCACTACTAGCTTGATAACCCTCACATTATTGCTTATGTTGCACTACATTAACCATGCCTACCAAACTGGTGTATAAGTTCTCTATTAAGGATAATTAACATAATTACGAACTGGCTTCCATTTATTGAAAAGAAAGTGAATGGATTGGTTAATCCGTTACTATTGTCTTTTGTAGAGTAGATCAACTAAAAGCTGACTTTTGCAGAGAATTATGGTGTGCTTACCAGCTATTAGTTCAGAGGGTTTGAAACGAGGGCCATCGGATACTGTTTGTAGGATTCAAGCTTGATACTATGCACTTATCTTGTGGATGTTCTTGCAATTAAAGGATTTCGATCTAAACACAATGTATACAGAAAAATCTAACGACTTTATTAAAGCGAATGTAAATTTAATCAGTAAATTATGCTTCTATCGTTTATTGTATCGCACTAACTTTTCATAACAGTCCACTGCTAAAAAATTACGAAAATCAGTCTGGAATGCTAGTGTCTCTGTTTTCCTTAATGTAACTTTATCTTCCTTATTTAATGACTAGGATTTTGGAGGTATATATATTCTAGTTTCAAAATGTGGTGAAATCCAAACATTATGATTGGTTCAGTGGAGTTTTAAAAAATCTTAGCTGGCAACAAGAGTTTGCATCCAGTTATTATGTATGAAAACAAGTAGATGAGTTTCCTTTATGTAAAATGTCACAAACATTACGTATTTCATTCTTATTTAAAGCCTTATGATCGAATGCCTTATCGACGTTCCTGATAAATTCGAGTAATCATGAACTACGATTTGTTTTTCACTCACTACAATAAGTTAAATAAACTGTTATTTAGAAAAATACTTAAGATTTTCTGACCACACATAAATCTTCAGAAACCTCATATCTCTACTCATTGTATCGTCTTCCTATTTTAGTTGTATTTTTTCTGTACTATAGTCTCAGTTGGTGGGACCGCTTTGCGTTTGTTTTACTTTGGTATATCTGTTAATAAATTGCCGAGTATAAATGAGTTATAAAATATGTTATCCGGAAACTCAATAAAATTTCCACTTTTATCATTTCGTGTTTACTAAAGAAACTATTTCATCTCGTTACCATACGATCGCTGCCGTAGAGTTGTGAGAATGCCAATAAGGGTTACTTATGAAGACAAATAGTTGTAAGAAGTAGAAAAAAGTACCGAATGACGCTTCTCATTTCTTTATTATCACTCATTGCAGCAAGCAATTATGATAGATTTTTAGTGGGAATTATTGATATATTGGGAACCCAATACTTGTTGGATACACGCCTTTTCATATCACACCATTCACTATGTGGGACTGGTTTATGTTTAGTTTAGCGATCGAACGACCAAGCCCTTAATATTCCAGATACAATTTCAAATTCGCTTGCTGTAATAGTTGCAATTAATTTTGATCTGAAAAGTTCCCTGGCTCGGATATCGTGGTGGTTGGACTATCGATGAAGGAAATGGTTCAAGTGTAAACGGAAAGCTTATTTGGAACACTTCGACCAATGTAATCCAATGATTCTGTCACACATGATTAGAACATTAAGGTTGCTTCTCTAACTATTTGAGGCTGTGATAGACCTGGAACAGTGAAGTGGCATAACTTGGGGATCTTTGGGATTTGTTTTTCAAATTCCGCGTGCATAATATGACACTAATACATCTTAGGTATTTGTTCGTACGTACCTTCTGAGTACTGTTTGTAAATAGCCGAACTATGCAGTCTTCAATACAATTGTCAGGTTTTAAATAACTGTTAAATGTAGTGAGTCGCTTCACGAGGCCTTAAACCCCAGTTGAGTTTCCCTGACTACGTAATAAATTATCGTCTACCTTGAGTAATACGTTGATTATAGTCGACATGATTCTGAAAAAGCTGTACATAACTAAGTCAATTCACGGTCTTGGTCGTTAAGACTACTCACTGTTGGATTAAAGTGTAAGTAGTGTGTATAAATCCTACGTTTTTAAACAGCTAGAATAACCGTTAGATTACAGATTTTAATGGGAGTATCAACTAAATTCTTATCTGTCGGATATTAAAGCGTAGGTGTGTTTTACTCTAGCTACTTTATTAATGTCTATCGGTGATGCATATTCATCGTTGCCACATAAAATAAAAATGGTAAATGTAATATATTGAAATGAGCTGTCTGTTTAAACGAAATGTATGTAGAGGTGATATTAGTTAATCGCTTCTAAGGTTAGATAATTCGTCTATTGTTAACATGATCTTGAAAACAAATCTAACGACACTTATTCTACTTTCCTTTTTGCTTCGTTCAAGAGATGCTATAAAGTATTATTTTAAAATGCCGTATTCTCTTCTTTTGTATCAAACTCATTTGTAAACAAATCATTCATTCTTTCGTTAAGTGTATAATGCATATTAACCTCCACAAAACTTTGGTGAACATGTTTGACAGACAGGGCTACTGTTAACATGTATTTTACTTTCTGTGTCATCTCAATGTTTACATAGGTATTTACTTCCCAAGTAAAATTTTTAATCAGTGCAACTAAGTTAACATCTTTTCATCATTCTTCGGCATAATGTATTTTCTTTATTGTAAGCCCATATAATAAATATCATTACAGTAGACGTTTCTTTATTCTTTGACTTTCAGCCAATACATCAGATTGCATGTGGTGAATTGTAGTCATCTATTTATAGTCATTCATCACATTCTATGAAGTACTCGATTGAATTTATTCGTATTGGCTGGACAAGGCGTATTTCAGATCACTACTTCAGTTCTGCATGTACGATATCATTACTAAGAGGACCTAAATTGATTCTTGTTGACCCTGGTAGTCCATGGGATTCGCAATGGCTCCTTTCTCAGCTCTCATCTCGTGGAGTAAATCCTTATGATATCGATTTTGTTGTTTGTACACATGATCACGTCGATCATATTGGAAGTCTACATATATTCCCAAACTCTACTCGGATTGTGGGAGAGAATTTCGAAGTTCAAGGTCTTAAAGATTGCTTCAGTATTCTCAAAACGCCTTATGAGATCGACTCCTTCGTTCACATAATATCTACACCTGGGCACACTTTGTCAGACATATCAGTCATTGTAGAGGATGTTGATCAATTCGGTCGTGTTGCCATAGTGGGTGACTTGTTTGAATGTGAGCAAGATACTATTGACCCATCTTTGTGGCATTCATCTAGTAACAATGTAAGCATACAACAAAAAAGCCGGGAATTCATTATCGATAACTTTGACTACATTGTTCCAGGTCATGGACCAGCCTTTAAAGTTACTAAAAGGTGGCAAAACTAACTTTGTATGTACCTTGTTTATTGTAATTTACTCGACATTTGTTACACTTTTGTCTGTCATGAAATTCTCTGGGATAATCATTTGTCTTTCTAAGTTCTTATAAATCACAAAACCCTTTAATTTTCTCATTATATATCCGAGAGCATTTAGTTATGATATCATAGACTCAAGTTATTATTAGTCAAGACATAGTCAATAACTTTATTGTATATAACCCTTTGGTGCTTTTCGTTCTCCAGGTTTGTAGCATGAATTAGCTAGTCTAGTTTGGTTCGTTATAAGACTAAGGAGAATCTCTGTATTGTTTGTCGTATTTCTATTTGATGGTGCTCATCAAGAGGACTTTTCTGCGGACTCGAATGAACGTCTGCACCCACAGAAACTCAGATCGATAGCTCTCATTGCTTCTGTTATATATTTTTATTTGATTGAGGTTGAATACACATTAAGTATTTAAATTCTCAAAGTGCGTCTGAATGAAAGTGATAAAGACAGCAAGACCATGCTTTTATCCGTAAAAAAATTATACAGTATTAAGATTTTGGTCTAGTCTCTATTATTGAGAATTAAGAACTATTGACATATCACATGTCTCTTGACCACTAAATGTTTCAACAGTCTTCTCATATTGACAGAAACTTCGAGGGAAGTCGAAACTCAAACTTTCAAATAATTAGAAGTAATACTGGCGGTAGTGACTGATTTAAAAATGTACCAACATTGGGAATACAGGTGTACATGCGTAATTTTCCCCGCACTAGAGCGGCAGTGGTTCATGATTGTTACAAGACTGAAGGTATTAGATGTAAATGCTTACTGTAATCCCCAATTCCTATACATATGAGTCGCCTATCAAGGTATATACTCATATAGACGTAGTATGGAATGAAATACATGATGTTCCTATTGTCTCCAGTGTAACAATGTGACTTTATTGAGGCAGATGTTAAACCTTACTACCAGGTGTCTAAGATATACTCTTATAATTGATATTATTTATATGTAGGAAGTTAATTTTTAATTACTAGATTTGTTTATTTTGTGGACCAAACTATGTTTTACAGGGAGTATTATATAAACCTACCGTATTAAATACTAAGCACAAGTATTTTACATAAGTAACTAATTTGTTGTTCATTATCGTGTTTCAAAGTAGTTTATAAATTAGCTTAAACCTCTCAGTCCGAGACAGTCTTCATAGTATTTCTTCAAATATTACTACATAAAACTAATACACCCCTGTTCACTTATTTGGATTCAGTTAGCCTCACAATTGGAATTCAATAAGAGGTACTTGTTTAGTGTTTTGAGACTTCACAATAATTTACTTAATTAGGTTCTTGAGAGATGATATTAAAATTGAGTCAAAGTGTTCAGTATAACAGATTGCCTTTTGAAGTTAATTTTCTGCTCTCTGTAATGTATAACCCTGACTTCAAACGTACGATTGTACACTATCTGACAAGTTTAGTAAATTTCTGAAGTCATTATTGGAGGTCATAACTTGTTTACTAGTTTGCAATACATAAACATATCTTAATTCTGGAATTAAAAGGTTTTAGTATTCTAACAGCTTTATTGTGCGGTAGCGATTTACAATAGATGAATTTTCAGATTCATATAAACTCTATTTGGACGAGTTTAACCTTAGCAGTAAAAATTCATAGTATAATTCCAGTTCTACAAGAGTTGTTGTGAATCCTCAGGTTTCTTTTGATGTTTCGAAGTTGGAAACCAGTAATAGTATGTCAGTTAATAAGGGGGGATGTAAAACTCAGCTTAATACACGTACTACTTTTATTACATCTCACTTAGTAGAAGAACTTCTTTGTATGCTCAGTCGACTTTCACGTTTTGTTCTCAGTCCATTTTGAGAAGAATTACTGGGAACGTTTCCAGAGGAACTTGAATGTTGTCTTGGTGGTTGGACATTTGTAGCTGCAGATGATTCTTCTAATGCCTTTTCCTCATCGTAAAGTAGGTCAAACTGTCCCATTTGTTCTTTAGTGACATTTTTATTAGATTTGACGTCTGGAACTGTTCCGTTAGGTAAAACGATATTAATAACGTCGTTTACTAACTTGTATTTTAAAATACGGTCACTAGCCGTTGTAGCTGACAGTGACGGAGATGCATTTACCTCCACAAGCCATGGCTTAAAATTGTCGTCAATTATGATATCGTAACCATAACATTCAAAGCAGTGTCTGTCGTTAATCATCACACTTGCGACTGCTTTCAGGGAATGTACTATTATCCAATGAATCTCATCAAATAGCTTGTCTGAGATGGATTTTCCTTTCGTTCCCTGCAACCATAAGCGAAAATTCTCTGTTGTCCATTTACCACCATGAATACTGTTATAGTGCGCTCCATGCTTCTGTATTGAAACGTTTGTTAGGTGAACAAACATATTATCTAGCTCACTAACATCTGAATTATACTTAACTGTGCAAAACCTGCAGAACCCCAGCTTATACACGTATGTCCTGAGAGGCCTGAACGAAGTAACAAGGACATAAAGGCGCAGGTCAAACTTCTTACCTCCAATTAATAGTGGGTTCTCAATATACCTTGATATAACATAAGAATCTCTACAAGTTGGTGTTGCACCAATTAAACCAGATTTTCCATCTCTAGACCACCGCTTGAGTTGAGAGAGTTTATTAATCAGAAAAATACCAACTCCGCGGGCTTTTCCGCTAGGCTTCATTATCCATGTAGAAGAAGGGTTGCGTTTAAACTCCTCTGCAAATAGGTTATAATCCTGTGGTAGCATATAAGTGACCGGTATAAAATCCAAGAAGAAATACTTCCCATTATCATCTTTTACAGCCAACGGGTTTCCCTCCTTCTCTAGTTCGCGTCTGTACCTTTTAATATTTCTGACCATTAGATCTTTTCTGGTAAGTTCAAAATGGTTTGGGAAGTGGTTTACGATCTGAACTAGTTAGCGGAATTTATTTATCGATAAAACCTGGCTGTCTGATAATCTATATGATGTTTCATTGCTAAAGAGCATGCGTATGCTTTGAACAGAAGCCCAGAAAATATTCCAGTCCTCATCAGGATGAACAAGTGTCCAGCCACGCGCTTCAAAATTACTTGTTATGACTGATTTCTCCACGTCTGTTGCATATTTTATCCTACTCATACTCGCACACAATTCAAAACTGTGTGTTGTTATGTGAGGACAGAAGTAATTTTACTGAGTTAGATAAACAATTTAGTTCTGTCTAAACGTTTGTATTGTGCAAACTTAAGTTATTAGAAGGAGAATCTTGTGGTTAAAATACAACTTGTCAGTTTTTCATTATTCGTGTTTACTTTTTATTTCATTAAGTTTCACTTTTTCAGTAATAAGGAGAGTAGGTTGTCGGACCTGTATGAATCCTAACAGTTTGCCTTCCAGTGTGTGTCCAGCATACCCTTTTAAATGTACCAATTGTATGAATCTATGTGGTTTAGTTCTATAACCCGAATTATCTTTTTAAGCAACTTAACACCTGTGTTGATTAGATTGACAGGCCGGCAGTTTGATACGATAATTCTCTGACCATCCTTAAATGTAATACTGACTATAGCATCTTTCCAGGGTTTGGTATTCTACCGGGTTTGAGGCTATTGAGCAGTGGAAAAACAGTTTTCGCAGTTACAAGTACAGGTCCTATGGCTGGTATCTCGGTGTAACTAGGACAATTATTTTTGGCAATACATGTGGAGTAGAGTTCACCAAAATAGTTTGATGAATTCTCAGCTAGTAAATCTGAATTTTCGTGTTACAGTAATGAGGGGATACCATCACTATGTTTCGTTCTTCGTTTAACTTATGAAAACAATCGTCTCGGAGAAGTACAGCTACCATATTCCAAGTGTCTTTAGTAAATAATACGGCATCTATATATGATCTTTTAACATATATCTCGGATTTCTTAATACTCAGACATAAATGATTCGTATCCTGTTGATAAGAATAAGTCCCATAAGTGTTTTCTACGCTTCAACAGCGTTTGGGCTTCCTCATTAATCAGTGGAGGGCTCTGTGATAGCTTACGAGTTGACCATGATATAAACGGTGATGTTACGTACTCGAATGTAGCTTAAACTTATTCCATTCGTCTTCGATCGAAACATCTGCATCGACCGACCAGTCAGTCGAGACAGCACAGTCTCTGACTGCCGGAATATTAGCTCACCAGGTTTTGGGACGTCGTGGAGCAGATACATAGTGTATACGATATGTACGAAAAAAAAGTACAACGTGAGTACTATTCGCTAGCGCGGTAAGGTGTAAATTCTGGTGACATCGTCACAGTGGTGTGTGAGGACAAGGTTCAGCAATGACAAATTATGTTCCGAGTCAATATTTGTCTGTTTCACGATACATTGTACAAGTGCACACTGAATAATGGTCAGACGTTTTATTTCGAAGACGTTTAGGGTGTTTTGAGAATTATTTATTCTACCCGTACAGATCTCGGAAGCACTGGCTTCCAAGGCCTGAACAACCGAAAACCTTTAATAGTAAGGTTCGCTTCGCCATTTAGCTTCCTAATTTTTAACTCCGTAATGGCATTTTCCTACTGATACATTTCTGTAATATCGTTTGTGCTATACGGTCATCGAAGCAGCCATGGTGCTTTGAAATGAAGAAATTGTAATCAGCGTAAAGTGCTGATCGCTAGGTGTGACTTAGAAGTATGTTGGGAGTTCGCGCCACTTCCAACTCAAGTAGGCACTCGATTAACCACACTGGTCGCCTACACCAGTGGTGTACACTTACATTCTCGGATCTGTCGGTGAGCCCTCCAGTTTCTTACCTCAGCCTCACCTTCAATTTCTGTGTCTATTCCACCCAGATACATTTCGCAACCCGTTGTTTTGTGTTTCTCTAGTTTTTCTGCATATTTTTTTGTTTCAGTCGACTGTGGTATTAGTAACCAGTGTGAATTTTGCCCACTAATCAAAGTACCTATGTTTCTTCCTGTGTAAACTCTTACAACTTTCTGAGTACTAACATCCCGGTACTATCCTCGCCTTTTTTTCTTCCATCAACATGTATATAGTATAAATCTATGGAGCGTCTATACGAACGTGAGACATACTCCTGAGATGTGTGTCTGTCAATGTCACAGCTTATACCAAGCACCCTGGTCTTGTTCGTTTATAATAACTAGAGACTTATTATTGTTATTCACGGACAACTAATGGACGCATAAGTGTTGTGGACAAACCATTTCGAGTTTCTTCAAAAATGAAATAATACACAAGTTTCAATAATGTTAGCATTATATTTGCCCTATATGAAAAAGAGAGTAATAATAATCGAATAATAATTATAAATCAGGAAGAAAATAAGAGAGTAGAAATAAAAGAGATGTGAAATGCGCGAATAGTTTGATAGGCGTGTTCATGAACACGGAACAAGAATGGACGACTACGTATGTATCGTCAAATTAGTAAAAAAGTAAAAAAAAATAGAAAATAACTGAGAAACAAGAACTTATTATTGCAGTAAGATATGACGCTAGAATAAACGTTTATGCAGTCATTATTTGGGGTGATGCTATGAAAGTCACGATTAAGTGAGAAGTATAACTAAATATCAATACGTATAAGTAATATATAAATAGTGAAGATAAAACGAGTCTGAGAAGTTAATTTAAATGTAACGCAAGCTATTGTCTTAATTACAAACTTTTTAATCTTAATAATATTTACTTAGAAGCAAAACAGACAGAGAAAAGAAATAAACACATAGTGAAAGGGTTCAACCATGATAACAATAATTGTGCAGTGAATATCGACCTCTGAAGTAAACCAACAATTTAGAAAAATAAAATAAGTAAATAAAATAAAATAAGTCCTTTAGTGCACTCGGAAAAATACATGTAGATTTATGTGAGAGTAAACCACGCCTAGCGATGAACACCTTACGCTGATTACAGTTTCATCATTTCCAAGCACCATGTCTGTTTCGATGACCGAATAGCACAAACGTTGTTACAGAAATGTGTCGGTAAAAATGGGTACAAGAAACAGAATGCGACCACTACCGCATGAGCCTGTTAACGGTGGGCATATAATTAGCGTCGGCTGTTTTCAGCCTTGTAGAGGATCGACAAACTTTTCTACACTAGGCTAGCCCATGCCGAATAATTTAGTTAGGACAGAGTGACATTTCGCTGGTACATATAGCGAATGAACGCAGTGTTTTGAAACGTCAATGACTTAATGACTTTTATTGATTTCCTCATTATTCTTTTTATCTAGTGTCAATATTATGGCTATTATTGTAAATCGAAAGTAGCTAATTTCAACTAAACTTCCCCTCATTTTCAAAAGGGCGAATACATCATACCCTAAACCTCAACGTTCATAGAATTTTCCACGTAAAAATTAATCCTCACATATAACAAATCCCTATCGAACGATAAGGGCTTCAAAAAATTCGTATTCAAGTTTCGTCTTTCTCCACATAATGAATGACCTAAAATTCTACCTAAGATTGCTAGAACTATTGATTGGGACTGTGGCTAACATAATTAGTTTATACAGCATGAACAGTTAATAGCAACAGTCGGCTAAAATCATCCAGGTCTGCACAAATACCAAATTTACATAATTCACCGCCAAATTAACGCCATTCGATGGCTTTATTCAGTTTCACAATCTGCTCATAACTAATCTACATTGTTAAGTTAGTACGCGGTTTAACATATTGTAAAATGATATATAATTAGATAGTTACAGTTGACTTTGCAAAATAGATGGATATGAAGACAGACGATTTGGGTGTTCCATACCTTAACTGTATGCAACTAATCGAATAATCAGAGTTACCCACCAACCGAAACTGCCAAGTCATAGTGGATCGTTTAGAGTTTAGACAAAACTGTCTAAAGTTCAAGAGAAAGCACAAGAAGCAATTTGTCAAGAACCAAGTGCTTTCTCAGTAACACATCATGATCCTTAATTTTCGATCTTCATCAGATTATTTTTACAGTGACAGTACATTTGATTACAACGAAACAAAAACTTCCAAGTTTCACCATGCATACTCCAATTTGTTGGTGAATGGAGTGAATACGTGTGATTCATACTTATGTGTAGCGTGGTGTAGAGTCGCGATTGACTATGAACACCGCTACAAGACTACGTGCCAGTTAGCAAATAAGATCCCCGTAGGCCAATATCAGAAGACAGATGATGGCTGTAGTCGAGATGTATTTGTTGGCGATCTCGTGGTATCGAAAGAATATCGAGATCGTGCCGATGGAGTACAAGCGTGGTTACTGAGCGTAACCGAATTCGTACAAGTTCAAAGCCAACGGGAGAGTAAGTAAGTATAATGGCTGTCATTAACACAGTTAAACAAACGAGCACAGTAAAACAGTTACTGGTACAATTGGTTATAATAATAATTGTTTTCATTGAACGAATCGCGTTCTGTTGACAAAGTAGGTCACTACAATTCTATTAAATACACGGACAATGAAGCAGCTTCACTAAGGGATGAGTGGGTGTCATCTAATTTTGATTTATTACTGAAATGTATTGGGGGTCTTTTCCAATAGAGAGAATTATAAGCAATGTGATACATTATGATCATATCCTTTAGATCCTTCTGCACTGTTCTGACTTTGGGTAATAGCTTTCGAGTTCAGTTGAATTTATTGTTTAATCAAAGTTCCTTATTCGATGCTTTTATATGAACACAATCTTTTAGAGCGGCATCATTCTTCATGTAAGGAGGCGTTGCGCAGGATATTTTTCAGACAAAGTTTTAGATAGACACTAGAGACAGTTATCAAAACTTCTGAAGTCAGGCTACGAAATGTTCTAGAAACAAGCCAAAGGAATGAGCATGGTCTATCGCATACTGACTGCTAAGTGGAAAAGACGCATGGATTTCTTTTTGGTTAGGGAAATGTGAAACTGGAATCTTTTAAGAATCATTTAAAGTATGGAATATCAATGATATTCACCACTAATTTTCTTCATTTACAAGTTTCAAGGAAAAGAAACATTTCGTCAGTATGGTCTAGCCATCTTGAATGGTCGAAACATGGAAGGACCAGCTGATTTCTGAAAGTCATCCGCTTAAAGGAGAGTTTGGATGAATCATTATTGTTCCTTACGAAGAGAAGTAATCCAGGGATCGAGCATTGTTTCATTTCACTTGTTAGCGAAAACTGATACTGCAGAATTGTCCGAAGTCCGGCAGTTCGTAATCTCCTATTTGATTAATATATAGGATCACGTTATCTGAACCCGTCTATACTGACTAAATTTGGCTTTGGAGGCAGGGTACAGTGATCTACACTTGGAGATATCTATGTAGCTGATGTGCACTGAACAGTTGTGCTTCAGGCACTTAATGCGTTTGCGTCATGGGATATATCATACAGAAAAACGTGTTGCAATCCAGAGAAAATTAACATATTGAAGATATAGTTAAACATGTTGAATGCTAAATGAAGCAACAGATTTCTGTAGACCCGAGAGCCTTGGAGTCTCCTTGACTTCCAGAGGTCCGGAATCCTTTAGACCTGGACCAGTATGAGAAGGTTCGCGGCAGACGTTCTTGGAAAAATTTAAAGGATTACACCATTCGTTTACGTCGATAGAATCTCGTCAGTTTGGTCGCAAAGTCTGCTTTGACAGTGCCATAATCTGTGTGTGTAAGTTTTTGTTCTGAGTTCTTTCGTCAGGTCGATCTGCTATGGAGATAAAAAATGAAATAGGGGCCTGACTATATTGTCTTGGAAAGTAGAGGATTGTTGAGTGCCTATAGTGTACAAAGCTCAAACTCCGCCGTGTTTTTAAATGTTAAATGTTTTCGTGATTTTCCGTGAGTTTCGGAGGCATCCGGTATTTTACGTTCATTTAGTGGTTAAATAAATCATTTTAGACGTAGATGCGACAAATTACATAACATCTGATCACATCTGTACCATACAAAGTTTATTGACTCAATTATTTTAAGACTTTTAGTAAATTGATCGACCCAAACAACCAATAAAGGGAAAAAAGGCGAACAAAGGGTAAAATGCGTTGCCTATATGGGGGAAATAATTTGGATTTTTACCTTTTTGTCGCTGTCTTTCAAATGTTTCTAAATTTTTATTTTTTGCCTAAATACACGCCGAATTGTATATTTTTCGCTTAAATACAAGCCGAGTCTTCTACTTTTCTCGCCTACATATACACCGAATTGTCTATTTTCACCTAAATGCGCGACGATATCCCTAATTTTGGTTACAATTTTGAAACACCTTTGGCATAACCACAAACGTCTCCTGTGTTCGCATTTGTTCCAGTAACACCACACGAAAACTTCCAACCACGTAAAAAATGGTTTAAAGAAATTTATTGAAAAGAAAAGCGTATAATTGTATAACATTATGAGTAGTTGGCAGATGCTAGAGCATCAATTGTTATGTATTTTAATTGTAATTGCCAAGTCTTATTGTAATTTGAAAAGATCTACAAAAGAAAGAACAATTGATGTATTAATAATAAAGTACATGTGCTAAATTGCAAGTGCATTTAAAGTCAAAGAAGCAGATCTGCTTGGACAGACATCGATATGGTTTGATCAGAACTTAATACGTTAAGAATGTGATATTTGTGGTACTATCTGCTTGTCTTATGAAGTTTGGCATTTTAAACGAATACTCCTTAGTGTCGTAGGGAGCATCTATCATGTACTTTTTATATTACTCGCATTGCACTTTACTATCGACGTTCTTTGTTTTCTGTGATCTACTTGTTCATCTAGATTCCTGATACAAAATAATGCTGCGTTTTGAGTGCAGATGTTTGCGGAAGAAAAAATAGAATGTCCTGAATTTATAAAATGTACTGTCCATTTTCTTTAAAAAACATTAAGGGTTTTCCCAACGAATATAGATAGATTTCCCCAGTGTTATAAGATTCTGGGAAAATATTGGGAAAACCCAAAATACTTTGGAATTTTCTCAAGACCCTGAGGCATTTTGTCGTTTTTGTGCCATTTCCCCCAAATTGACAAAATTTTCCGCAAAATAGGGAGATCGGGCTTATAATGTATTTCTAAGCTCCTTGACAACAGTTCGATATTTCTTTGACTTCCTACGTTTTTATTCTCTATTCCTCTAGCTATTTGGACTGAGTTTATGAGATTCACCCTTTCTCGTTATATACAGGTCTTTTTGTGGCTAGATCCTGTATACCTTATTATTACTGAAACTAGAGGTAATGAAACTGGTCCTACTATCTTTTTAAAAAGTTAATTTCCACTTCTAATGGTTTTCATCAAGTATAGTTACCAATAAGTCATTACCTTGAAAACGTTTTGATTACTTGTAAATATGTGGCAGTGTAAATCCCATCTTGTTCCATTGTAGAACAATGAAGCGTCCCCTTAAAGTTCAGCAGCCCGCTGGCGATGAGGAAGACGACTCAGAAACCTTTAAAAAAGGTTGTTTATTAGTGTTGTTAATCAATCAACTGTACAGTTAGACGTGTAATCTGCAAAGGTAAAGCACCAGTCGATGTTGAATGTGTTGCTAAAGTCAATTCAGCTTATGTTTATTATGAAGGCGATGATATTTACGATGTCATGCTAAATCAGGTAATATAAAGTAATTTTTTAATCATAAAGTGAACTATTTTAGACTAATGTTCAAAATAATAACAATAAATACTATATTATACAGCTTTTAAAAGATGAAAGTATAAATAATTACTCAGTCTGGTTTCGTTGGGGTCGAGTTGGGAAATCTGGCCAAAATAAACTTGAAAATTTTGGTGGTAATTTACAAGCTGCTAAGAGTTGTTTTGAAAAAAAGTATATTGACAAAGATTTTGCAGTTGTAAACGTATTTAAAAAAATAGATTTCTAGATAAAACACTAAATCAATGGGAAGAAAGAAGGAATTTCATAAAACAAAATGGAAAGTATGATATGGTTGAAATTGATTATGGCGTACAGGTTGGTCTGTAGTATATTGTTGTATTCACTTCTAAGGATGAAAATGCAACTGCAAAGAAAAAGAAGGTTAAAGAAGTTAAATCACGACTTCCTGTTGCCGTGCAGGTAAATGTTTTATTAGAAGTTATTCCATAATAATAACAGTCAGTCAGTCCCGACCGTAGCTGCTACCTTGATGTGGTGGTCGGGCTTGCCTATCGTGATGACCCAACCGAGCTATATTGGCTGGAACTCAAGTTCCTGCAGGTTCTACCATGCCAGGCAGGTCGATTGGAGAACGGTAAGACTAAAAGCAGCAACTCGAGGTCTGAGGACGAAGTCGTACTGCTGACTGTACAGAGGTGTGACAGCAGTAAGGTGTTTCCCTCGGACAACCAGCATCTGCAGCGATGCTGCCTTCTCACAAGGAAGGAAGGGGTTAGAAAAGGTTGACCCTAAAAATGTCACACCTCACCTTACCTCACGGATTTCCGTCTCCGGCGGTAAGGCCCTTTGAAGAACGGAGCTAACACATTAAAAACTTCCCACAAAAAGGCCGTGCGCGACCGGCTTCAAGCAGTTGTCCCTTGGGCTCTGCGGTCACGCACTCAGGTCGCTAAGACCAACACTAATCCGAGTTCCTTTTCAGGTCCCTCAAGAAATACCCTTCCACGGTGTGGGCAACCGGGAAGTGATATCAGCCCTCATACCCGTAACAGCACACGAGACCAAGTTGGTCACATTCAAATCCTTCCTACACCTCCTAATAACTCTCTTATCTCCACGACTAACCCTTCTCACGTCCCTTTATCACCTCGCCCCGCTAGTGCGAACGATTCGAGTACGCGGAATGTTATTCCTGGTCTCCTGAAACCACGCTCCAAACTACACGTAGGAGCTTTCAACGTCCGAACACTGTGCCAAATAGGACAACAGGCTTCCTTAGCTAAGACTTTAGAATCTCGCTCCATCGATGTGTGCTGCGTCTCCGAAACGCGCACACAGGATCCTAGTAGTGTCATTCATTTGACTGCACCATGTCAAAGTAACGAACCAACTCGATTTACGCTTCGTGTATCTGGAAGCCCTGATGCTGCATCCCGTGGCCTCGCTGGCGTAGGTATAGCATTGAGTCCTAGGGCAGAAATAGCTCTCTTAGACTGGATCCCAGTAGACAGTCGTTTGTGTGCTGTCCGACTAAACGGAACAGTAAGGACTCGAAAAGATAGGGACACTCGTCGTTGCCTCTTCGTCGTCTCTGCCTACTCTCCCACTGACTGCAGCTCAGATGATGTAAAAGATGAGTTTTACAGAAAGCTTTCCGACCTTCTCCGTAAAGCTAGGCGTTCAGATGTAGTAATAGTGGCTGGTGACTTTAATGCTCAAGTAGGTAAACTAAGCGAAAAGGAAAGACACCTGGGTGGATCTTATGGTGTCGCGGTTCAAAGAACAGATAACGGCGACCGTCTGTTGCAGCTATGCTCAGATAACCGCCTGTTTCTTGCAAACACTAACTTTAAGCATAAGGAAAAACATCTTTTAACATGGCGACCCCCTAATTCGTCTCAACGCTGGACCCAAATAGATCACATCGCTATCAGCCACCGATGGAGGGGCTCGATAGAAGACTGTCGCTCATTCTGGAGCACATGCTTAGACTCAGATCATGCTCTAGTGCGAGCGCGTATTTGTCTACGTCTTACTGGACGTAGGAAACATGCTGCAAGGAAACCCCTTAGGCTCCTACTTAATGATAGTCAAGCTAAGAGTATATTTCAGGAACATCTAGAAAAACAGTTAGGCAGCCATGTAAGTGATACCCACCCCGAGGCAGCATGGAATGACATCCGAAAAGCTGTAGAAACAGAAGTGATGTCTGCAAGTACGGTAAACCATAAGGTTAGGGAGAAACACTGGATCTCAGCAGCATCTACCGCACTGATAGATGCTCGAAAACTCATTCCATCTGGCTCTGAACATGACGAAGAGCGGAGTCAGCTTAAGCGTAAGCTGACTAGAAGCCTACGCAAAGATCGTGAACAGTGGTGGGTAGCGAAAGCAAGAGAGATGGAAAAGGCAGCGGCAATAGGTAACAGCAGGCAACTGTTCAGACTTGTTAAGGAAACCGGTATTAGGAACCCAACTGTTAGCGAAACAATCGCAGAGAAAGATGGACATATTATTCATTCTCAATCCAGGAGATTGGATCGATGGGCAGAATACTTTAGGGATCAGTCCAACTGGCCTTCAGCCACACTTCGGTTTCCCACGATCCCCAGTCGACCTGAATGGCAAGTTGATGTAAGTCCTCCGACTCTTTACGAAGTTGAAAAAGCTATAGGAAATCTGAAGCGTGGGAGAGCAGCAGGCCCTGACAGGTTTACCCCTGAGATTTTTAAGGATGGCGGTCCAGTATTAGCAGTGAGATTGACTGAGGTCTTAGGTAGAATCTGGGAACTGGACGTAATCCCATCTGACTGGTCTCAATCACTGATTGTACCAGTCTATAAGAAAGGACAAAAGTCCTCCTGTGACAATCACAGAGGAATTAGTTTGACTAATATGGTGTCTAAAATATTAGCTTCAATAATACTTCGACGTCTAACCAAAGCTCGTGAAGAGCAGACTAGAGAAAACCAGGCTGGTTTTCGACCTGGACGTGGTTGTATTGATCAAATATTCACATTACGTCAGGTCCTAGAACATAGACACACATTCAGACGTCCCACAATGGTAGTATTTCTCGACCTTAAGGCGGCATTTGACTCTGTTGATCGTAAGGTTCTATGGCAATGTTTGTCACTGAAGGGAGTACCAAAGAAGTACGTCAACCTTATAAAGGCTCTCTACTCGAACACAACTGGTCGAGTGAGAGCTTATGGTGAACTGTCATCAGAATTGATTACCTCAAGTGGTGTTCGTCAGGGCTGTCGACTCTCTCCATTCTTGTTTAACTTTGTCGTTGACGTCCTTTTAGAGATGACACTTTCCTCATCTAAATTTCCAGGAGTTGAACTTCTACTGGGAGATCCACTTGTTGACTTAGAATATGCCGATGACATAGTTCTATTTAGTGAAGACGCTGACAGAATGCAGAGTCTGTTGACCACTCTAAGCAACAATGCAAGCCTGTTCGGCATGCGATTCTCTCCCTCGAAATGCAAAATGTTACTTCAGGATTGGGTTGCACCGCCACCCGAACTAGTGATAGGGAGTGAAGTAGTTGAGCGTGTCGACCGCTTCACTTATCTCGGAAGTCTCATCAGCCCTTGTGGTTTGGTGTGTGACGAAATCTCAGCACGGATACAAAAGGCTCGACTAGCTTTTGCCAACTTGCGTCATTTGTGGCGTAGGCGAGATATCCGTCTATCAACCAAAGGACTTGTTTACTGCGCAGCAGTTCGTTCCGTCCTACTTTATGGCAGTGAAACATGGCCGGTAAGAGTAGAGAATATTCGTAGGTTACTAGTATTTGACCATAGATGTCTTCGAAACATTGCTCGTATATCCTGGGACCACCGAGTAAGTAACTCAGTTGTTAGGAAACGGGTACTAGGTAAGGATGGAAAATCAATTGAGGAAGTAGTGAAACTCAATCATTTGAGATGGCTGGGACATGTGTTGCGCATGCCCGACCACCGACTGCCCCGACGTGCTATGTTTTATGGTGTAGGAGTAGGTTGGAAGAAAGCTAGGGGCGGCCAGACCAAAACATGGCACAAATCCATGAAGTCACTGTCAAGTGGACTGAGCCATGTTGGTAGGTGTAGACTACCTGGTTGGGGACCGCGAGACGATAGCAACCGATGGTTAGAGACCTTGAATGACATGGCTCAAAACCGTTTGCAATGGCGCAGGTGCATCCACTCTTTGTGTTCTCTCAAACTCTAATCTTCTGAATTCTTCATGTCCTTTATTTTCTTTCCCAATTTATTCCACTGGACTATACTCCTTTAATAACATCATCAAACCTTAATGTCCCTTATCTCTACTTATACTTTTAGTACCTCTACCACTATGGGATTTGAAACGATAACTGAATCTCTGTGCTAATGTGGTATGGCAACTCGAACTGATGTATGTACGTACGAAGTTCCACGTTGTTACTGACTGACTGACTGTCAGTCAGTCAGTCAGTCAGCTGCAACGTAGGACCAGGCACGTATATGCGTCGGTCCAAGTTGCCATACCGCATTAGCACAACAACATGAACACCGGATTCATAGAAGTAGTTAATTCAGTGGTGGTAATATATAGAAGAAAGAGTGTGTATAAGGAGATAGTACAGGAAGATAGAATTAGTTCCTAGAAAGAATGATATGAAGCGATTTTAATCTCTTAGATTAAAGGAAGACAGAGAGTGTATACACCGACGCCATTGTGATCGATTCTGAGCCATGTCACCCACAGTCTCCAACCATTGGTTATGATAGTCACGCGGACCCCAACCAAGCAGTCTGCATCTACCAACATGGCTCAGCCCAGAAGTTAGTGACTTCAAGCACTGATGCCACGTTTTGGTTTGGTCGCCCCTAAATTTCTTCCAGTCATCCCTAACACCGGTTAGCATTGCGCGTCGTGGTAATCGGTGTTCAGGCATACGCAGCACGTGGCCCAACTATCTCAGTCGATGAAGGTTCATAACCTCATCAACTGATTTACCATCATTCCCTAATACCCTGCGTCTAACCTCACTATTACTTACCCGGTGATCCCAGCAGATACCCGCAATATTTCTAAGGCACGTGTGGTCAAATACTAGTAACTTACGAATATCTTCTACTCTTAAAGGCCATGTTACGCAGCCGTATAGTAGAACGGAACGAACTGCCGCGCAGTATACTCGTCCCTTAATTGATAGACGGATATCTCACCTTCGCCATAGATGACGTAAGTTGGCAAAGGCCAAGCGAGCTTTTCGAATCCGTGCTGAGATTTCGTCAGACACCAACCCATTAGGGCTGATCAGACTTCCAAGACAAGTGAAGTTGTCGACGCGTTCGACTACTTCACTCCCTATCCTTAGTTCAGGTGTTGATGCAGACCAGTCCTGAAGCAACAACTTGCATTTAGAGGGAGAGAAGCGCATCCCATATTAATAACACTTTCTGTAAATCTATTACTTCCTCACAATGAAAAATATGAACTATGGCTTATAAACGTACTCAGTACCATGAAAAAGGCTTAGTTCAAGCTTCTTCCTCAGAGCTAAAGGTTCTATTGGAGATTTAAATTTCAGTCTATTAGTGTAGGATGTGAATTCGTAACACTGACCGAAAGGGTAAATTAAAGCTCTACGTTTTAAATACTTGGATTAACACATCACTTAGCATTAAACTGACTGTTAATAGTCATTTTCTCGGACCGATGAATCGAGACATCTTAGTGGTTTAATAAAGATCATTTTGTTAAAAATCATATCACTCGTATTAGATGCATGAGTGGTAAATATGCCATAACTAAGTGGTTCTCTGAAAAAACCTCGTATTTACCAAGCTTATTTCAAAAAGTGTTGGACTCATATATCATTAAATAAAAACTCCAGATAATGGGTCACACAAAATAAAAAGACCGTCATGCAAAGAGTTAGTTATAAAACTTTATAGTGATAAAATTTAGCAAATATTAATATACAAGTTTAATAGATACGCGATCAAACAGACAGAATAACTTGACTCATGTTTGTGGGGCTAAAAATCATGGCAGTTAGTCGCGAATATTGGTGCAGACAGTTGTGGCGAACTAGAAATCCGAAAAAAGGCAGTTGAAAGAGGTAAAAAAGTATGGAATAACGTTTTTAATATTTGGAGTTAGATTGGGGATCTGCATTACTGCTAACTATTTCGAAACATTTCATGGGTTATACCTATCTGACAGACCGTATCTAAAAGTTGTAATTTCTCCTAACACCCCCAAAAAGCAGTCGGATATTTCATGGTCTAATTGCTGCTAAATTTTCGTCAATCTACACCTATGCTACCAAGCATAGGATTTCTTGATTGGCGGTGGCTGGGCACATATTACATATTTCCTAATCTCAGTCGATCCAAATTCTCAACTTCAAACTGATATATCATTTTTACTTGGTAATGTATACTTGACAGCGTTACTCACTTGACTGTTTTGCTATACGTGAGCAACGGTTTGAATAGGTAGCTAGAGGTCAGATAAACCAAGCTTTTGACCCATCGTTACAATATTCTGATTTTAGAACGAGTCGCTCTTCGCTTTTTGTCTATCCACATTTTTAACTTCTAGAACTCAGTTAAAAGTATGTTTTATTCCTCGTAAAAGTTTTCAAAAAGCTATCGTCTTGCGACTTAAGACTAAACAGGATAGGACTTTCAGTTAAAAATGAGCTGCTTAACCAGATAAAGATTACAATTAAGGGAAAGAAAAGTATAATCCATACCGAAATATTAGATACTAGAAATAATCTCTTTCGTAGAAAGAACCACCATTTTGAGTACTGGGTTCTATAGGGTTATTCACATTTTGTAGTAATCCATGTAAAGTCTGTGTGCTGCGTTGATTCATAAATCCGTAGCAGGCGGTTTTCTTCACTATGACCGTTGACCAAATTAGGGACATATAACCTTCCCTCTCTTGGATCCGATATTAACACCTCAGAGTTTAATAATTTCCTTGAGTAATTCATATGCTGGTCGAGTCAATTTCAGTTTTGGTCATTTGGTATCTTCCTCATTTGTAGAAACGTCCCAGTTGAGCGGTTTCTCGAAAAGGCTACAAATGTGTGGTCCACTGTATACCGTTTATGTGGAAAGTATGCTGAACGTATTTTGGTTGGTAATATATCCAAGGTTGTAGTGTCTTCTAGAAGTCGGCCAGTGGTAAACATCATGTCGGTATATTTAATTCTTGGATATTTCCTAAAGCGTTTATAATCAAATTTTCTGAGAAAATTCATCTTTATCATATGCGTTGCTTGTCTTACTAACTTTCCCATCAATTTACTGTGTTCACTGTTATTCTTTTTTAGGTACTTATGAAACTAATATGTGATTTTAGTAACATGGAACAAGTTATGACTGAACTAAAATATGATTCACGTCGAGCTCCTCTAGGAAAACTTAGTGAATCACAAATTCGTGCAGGTTATACAGCATTGGATAACATATCCCAAATGATTAGTGCTTTGTCAGCTCTAAGTCAAGCGTGTAATACTGAAACAGAAACTAAGCCAAGAGGCAGAGTAAAACGTATCGTCAAAACAAATGCGGGTGATAAACGTAAACTTGAAGAACAATTACTGTTGGCCTGTAATGATTTCTATACACGGATACCTCACGATTTTGGGTAAGAGACTGTTTATGACCATTGCAATTAGCAAAAATACAAACTAAAGTGATATGCTGTATGGCCAAAAGATCTCATTTTAGGCTTACTATCTCGTAATTATTTCTCTATAACTATTTTTCTCACACAGTAATAATATGCCTGTTTATTCGTGTTGTCGTCTGAGTGTAACTCCAGTGGATAAATTTGCATCTTCTTACCCTACGAAAGGGTATCGCAATTTTTTTGTTCACATCTACAATAACATGTATCCACTGTACGATGCGTTATTTACATAAGGTGAAAGTGTTAAATACTACGGAGAGTAGTGATGTTGTAGAAAACGAACCTATTATTGCCCTTGCTTGGTTCTCTAAAGGATTTGACAAGGTGCGGGAGACTAGTAATATTGAAAACCCTTATTGTTGTGAGCAACCAAAATCTACCAGTTCGCAAACATTCCACGAGATTTGGAAAACAGATCTGCAATCCATCCTTGACTCATCCACATAAAGACATTGTTGTGACTTTTAAGCCTTGCTAATTATCATAGGTCAGCTGTGGAAGTACCGGATATGAGTGTTAAAAACCGACGTATTAAACATGGGGAGCACCTACCTTTTTATTATTCGTCATGTACGCAAATAAAATGTCAGAATGCGTAAACGGTCAGTAGATCCCCTCATATACACATAATTTATTTATTTTATTTATTTACCGAAACGGCGCAGTAGTTGTAGGACATACTTGATACGTTGCGTAAGTTATTGGGTTGAGGAAGCCTGTACCTCACCAAACCATCAACCGTATTGTTCAATAATATTTGTTCATTTTATAATATGCAATTCATATTTTTAGCTTTCCTTCGTAATTGATATTGGTATACTATCCTCTGCTTTTCATCTTATCAATCTTCCTAATTGTTCTGTTATGGTGTTTTGTTGTAAGGTAGACCAACCGCACACTTATGTCAGATATACGCTATCTGTAATTAAGTTAATAAATTTAGTTCAACTTGACTTCTGTTTTCATAATTATGACATTTTATTACTTTTCTAATACAGTTATTTTAATAAGAAATGTATATCGATTGTTTTTATGATTTTTTTTTCATTTTCTACTTTTCTTATAGTATGCGTATACCACCGGTTATTCGTACAATGCCTGAAGTCAAATCAAAAATTGAATTACTAGAAGCCTTATCCGATATTGAATTTGCTGTAAATATTTTGAAGAATAATCAATCATCTACTGAAAATATTATTGATGTAAATTATAAACGACTGAATTGTGACATTAAACCTTTGCGATCAACTGATCCAATGTATTCGGTAAGAATACAACAAATGTGTATTGAACTATTTTGTGTATACATTTTGCTTTCTCAGTTGCTTTAATGAATGAATAAATGAATTTATCTCACTCCTTTGGTTGATTTTAGTGTAAAAGATATCGGAAGTTGAAAATATGGAGCAGTGGATCCGTATCCAGTAGTTTAAATTATTGGGTGTTCACTGCTGAACCTGAATGTCTTGGGTGTTTCCTCTAGGGGGTCTTTGTCGGCGGCTTGTGGGGATTCCCATAATAGAGCGAAACAACTGCACTTCGGCGGCTTGATCTTCTATAATACTGCATCTGAGACCAGTCTGTGGGAAATGCAATCTGGAAATATTAGTTCTTGATGTATTTCGCACAGTTGCTCACATGACTATAGTTCTTATGATGAATTAGCTTCGAGTATTTTGGTAGAATACACCAGTGCATCACAATCCCGAGAATACTTTTAAAAAAGTGAAACGGACAGTTGTTTAGTACTTAACTTGTTTGTCAGTAGTAGTTATTTGACAAATCACAACCAATACTGTGAAATTTCACATGCTTGTTGCTAACTTTAATGTTACTATATTCTAACATTTATTTTATCAATTAAGTAAATTTCTCGACTTATTACCTCGGCTACCCAAGCTGATGTAGGTCAACTGTGTTTCGTTGTAGCTGACAGACAAGTGCTTTAATCATTAAATTGATTATTCAGTCTTTTACTCAAATAAGATATGGTGTAGCCAGTTCTTAACTTCAGTCAGTAGGTAGGTAGCTAGTCAGTGAAGTGTGAATCAAAATTTTACCAATCTAATTCCTTGTACATGCTATTCCTAGTACTTTGACTATTCATTGTTTGTCTAAATGTTAAATATTTTTGTTGTCGAAGTTGTTAACCGATTACATGCACGAAACACATGGAGTTACACATAATTGGTATACGTTGGAAATATTAGATATATTCGAATGTCAAAAATCTGCGGAACAAGGAGAATTCAAAGATTACGGGAATAGGTAATTAAAAAAAACACTATTCCTCTCATTTATTGTTCAATAAGAGTTTTTTTGACAGGATTGTATATATAGTTTTTATTGAGTAAAACTTACACTAATTCCTCTTTATTTTGTAACATATCATGAAAATATCTCATGAGAACTGTTTTAGTTTTAGGGACCTAACAGATATTATACAAAATGTGACTAACTGTTTATTGTATATTTTTTGGAGGTATATAATCAGAAGAACGTATATGTATCACTTATTATTAATCTCATTGCCTTTATATAACCTCTGAATGATTACTTCCCAACATATAAAGACACATAGATCTTAACTATGTTTATTCATACACGTTGTATACCTATTCTTCCGATTATTATGACTTTAGTTACGTTTCGAACATTCATGTAAACTGCACATACTAAGGTATGCTGAAAATTTGTCAAGAATTATATTTATCAGTATAGGGCTGTGAAGATTGTTAAGTTCGAATCGATATCACTATTTAAAACCTGGAAGCACTAGTGCGTGTTCACGACACTGCATATGGGATTTGAACCCAGAACCTTCTGTTTTGCGCGCGAACGCTTAACCTTTAGACCACTGAACTGGTATCCAACGGCGTTAATGTCTAATTTCAACCAATCCACAATATTGCGTCCCATGCTCAGATGAAACATCCGTGCAGTACTTCCAGGTGTTGAAGTTGTAAATTAACACCTTTGGGTACCGGCTCAATGGTCTAAAGGTTTAACGTTCGCGCGCGAGACCTAAAGTCCTGGGTCCGAGCCCTCTGGTTGTTTAACATCCACCCATTCATAATATCAATTTAAACTACATATATATTAATAATCGTAATTTTAGGTTGCATGTAGCTGATGAGAAACCATAGACTGATGAATTCATTTTATTCTGCAAACATTTTTATTCTTGGTGTGTTTAAATTTGTCAGGTGATCTGGTTGTACAATATTTAATTTATACATACATTTATCTATAGTTTCTCATTGCTCCCAAATGCCCTACTAGGGCCGAGATTAGGGTGGGCCCGCCCTCCCTCTCGAAATGCTCTCACACGGCTACATGTATACAGCCTATGCCAGGGAAGTCCTACTCACTGCCTTCTCGTGGCGGGGGTGTTGTTTACGAAAATGAGAGGACGAAACGCGAATGTCCGGCGCTTTAACCGGATCCCAAACCAATGGTGCACATGGGCTCCAGTATCCTGAGGAAACAAATGGCGTATGGACCAATCTTTGGTCGCCGGCTACCATGGGACTGCATCTCCTCACGATGCTCCACTGCCTTGTGGGTCAGACCTTTGGGTCAAAGGCTCCGGGTGTGGCCCCCCAAGAAAACCACATGCTTCGGTTTGGGCACCCGAGCAGTATCACAGCCCTCACACATATCAATTGAGATTTGTGTGGTGCATATATATTTGGTGCCCTCTTGTATCAATATTTATGTGTCCAAATAAATAATAATAAATGAATAAAGTTTCTCATTATCATTATAGGATGCTTCTTTGGCATGGAAGTCGTTTAACTAATTGGGTTGGCATTTTAGGCAGAGGTTTACAAATTGCTCCACCTGAAGCTCCATCTTCTGGTTATATGTTTGGAAAAGGTGTATATTTTGCTGATTGTTCATCGAAATCAGCCAATTATGTTTATCCAACACAAGCTAATAATGTTGGACTCATGATTGTTTGTGAGGTAAATTATATATATATATATATATATATATATATATATATATATATATATATATATATATATATATATACTGCTGAGTATTTGCAAACTAAAACTGAAAAATTAACAAATAATTTTCTGATTTTCATTGATTCCACAACCTATAATTAAAACTATCAACAAAGTAAAAATGAATTCATGCTATTCTTCTAGAATGTTTGTTCTTGCTCTTCTTGAAACTACCATCTTAGTCTTCTGATCGCCTTGAGCAACAAGGTGAGCATATTTGCTATGCGTTTCTTTCCCGTTCAATGCTTAATATTGCTTCAAGTATCAACTCCTACACTAGTGATTTAATGAATTGGTTAAGAGCATTGATCACTTCATTTATTTTAAAAGTCTTATGAACCCAAGTGAATCGGTGTCTAATACAGATTCCGGAAACTGTTGCTTTGTAACAACTTGTGTCATTTGTGATATTTGCGCGATGCAGAGCTGTCAATAAAGGGACATGTATACTGTGCAACAGCTTGTTCTCTTTTGATTCATGGCTGTCAAACATGATTTTCTAAAGTTAAAAACATTATTAAGTTGTTAGTATTCGATCATAGAAATCTTCCAAATATTACCCGCGTATAGTGGAACAAGAAGGTGAGCTATTTCTGTTTAGATTACTAAGTAATGACGGATTAATCTCTGATAATATTAAATTTTCATTAAGTGTGGGGTAGCTTAAATGTATCCTGCATTTGACCTGTCACTACCTACCCAAGCTCATAATCGTGATGAACAGAAATAGTTGAAAAAAAAGCTAGACGTAAGGAAACAGAAAATTGACAGCATCCCATGAAGTTAGTGATTGTTATGTTTTTGGTTGCAGAGTACATTATTAAATTGTGACCAAACGATGAGAATTCACGATCTCATCAGCTGATAGACCATCTTTATCGAGTAGCGTAAAGTTAACATCGATATCACTCACATAATCTTGTGCTGTATGTGTTATTGGGATTTAGACTGGATTGAAGCATGTTCCGCATAGGATTGTGTTGGGGCACGTTGAATGGCTATTTATGACCCATCAGCAATAGCGGAGACTTGGAGAAGACTATGAAATCTTATGTAAAAATTATAAATATTACTAACGATTTTCTGATTGTGATTCCTATTTTCATCTACCCTTGTTATTGGAACCTGACCGTTGTTGCTACCTTGACGTGGTGGTCGGGCTTGCCTATCGTGATGAAGCAACTGAGCTATACTGGCTGGAACAACCGTTCCTCAAGGTCCTACCATGTCAGACAGGTCGGTTGAAGAGCGGTAAGACTAGAAGCAACAAAACCTAGGTCCGAAGGCGAAGTCGTACTGCTAACTGTACAGACGTGTGACAGCAGTAAGGTGTTTCCTTCAGACAACAAGCATGACAGCGTGCTGCCTACCCAGGTCGACCCCAAAAATGGACACCTCGCCTTATCTCATGGATATCCGTCTCCGGCGGTGAGGTCTCAACAAGTATGGATCTAACACAAAAATTACTCATAAAAAGGTCGTGTGCGACCAATCTCAAGTAGCTGTCCCTTCGGCACTGCGGTCACACTCTCAGGTCACTAAGACCACCTCTAATCCAATTTCCTTTTCAGGTACCTCCAGCAGAACCCTTCCACGGTGTGGGCGACCGGGAAGTGATAACCGCCCTCATACCTCTAACAGCCCTCAAGACCACTGTATTCATAATCAACCTACCTCTTCAATTCCTATTATTCCTCTTACATCGACTTTCAAATCTAAACTTCCTCTTTCGGCTTCCTCCTCAAGTGTCACCACAGCCAACGATACTAGTGCGCAAAACACTGTCCCAAGGTCTACTGAAACCTCGCTCCAAACTACACATTGGAGCCTTCAACGTACGCACACTATGCCAAATCGGTCAGCAGGCTTCCTTGGCTAAAACCTTAGAATCTCGTACCATTGATGTATGCTGTGTCTCCGAAACACGCATACAGGATCCTAGTGTGGTCATTCACTTGACCTCACCTCGGCAAAACGGAGAGCCAACGAGATACACCCTCCGTGTATCTGGCGACCCGATGGCTAGTTCTCGTGGACTGGCAGGTGTAGGCATAGCAGTAAGCATGAGGGCAGAACAAGCGCTATTAGAGTGGATCCCCGTTAATAGTCGTCTATGCGCTGTTCGGCTAAACGGCTCCGTAAGAACTCGAAAGGATAGGGACACACGTCGTTGCCTTTTGGTCGTTTCTGCCTACACTCCCACTGACTGCAGTTCGGATGAAGTGAAAGATGAATTTTACAGAAAGCTGTCTGAACTTCTTCAGAAAGCTAAACGTTCAGACATAGTACTCGTTGCAGGTGACTTTAATGCCCAGGTAGGTAGCTTAAACGAAACAGAAAGACATTTAGGTGTGTATTTTAGTATTCCGGCACAGAGAACAGATAATGGTGATCGTCTCCTGCAACTTTGCTCAGACAATCGTTTATTTTTAGCAAGCACAAATTTTAAGCATAAGGAGAGACATCGTCTAACATGGCGACCCCCTGCACCAAACCAATGATGGACTCAAATAGACCATATTGCCATGAGTCATCATTGGAGAGGGTCGCTAAAAGATTGTCGCTCATTCTGGAGTACCTGCTTGGACTACGACCATGCCCTAGTACGAGCACGCATCTGCTTGCGCCTCACTGGACGCAAAAAAGACTCATTAGAACCGAATTGAGTAACGAGAAAACCAAAAGTTGGTTCCAGGAACAACTGGGGTCACGCTTAGGTAGTTCTGAAAACGAGGCTGACCCCAATGTTAATTGGAAAGACATACAAGCAGCTGTGGAAACAGCAGTGACATCTACTAGTGATTTAAACCACAGGGTTACAAAGAACCAATGGATTTCTTCAAGGTCTATTGCACTGATAGATTCTCGTAAACTCATCCCATCAGGTTCTGAACACGATGAAGAGCGTAAAGAAATCATATCTGGGTTAAGCAAAAGTCTAAGGAGCGATCGTGAGCAGTGGTGGGCAACGAAAGCAAAAGAGATGGAAAAGGCGGCGGCTATAGGGAACACAAGACAACTCTACAGACTAATAAAAGAAATTGGAATTAATAAATCAAGTGTAAGTCAGACTATTTCGGAAAAAGACGACACTCTCATCTGCTCCCAGTCCAGACGTTTAGAACGATCGGCGGAACATTTTAAGGAGCAGTTCAGTTGGCCTTCAGCTACTCTACAACTACCCTCTATTCCCAGACAGTGTGAATGGAACATTGAAGTAGGTCCCCCAACTCTAGCTGAAGTTCAAAAGGCTATAGCTAATCTGAAACGAGGAAGGGCAGCAGGTCCAGATGGATTGGCCCTAGAGGTCTTTAAGGATGGTGGTCTAGTTTTAGCGATTAGGTTGACTAATATTTTAGCTAAAATCTGGGAGTTAGACGTTATCCCATCTAACTGGTCACAATCACTTATCGTCCCAATATTTAAGAAAGGGTCAAAATCATCCTGTGACAACCACAGAGGGATTAATTTAACTAATATAATATCTAAAATACTAGCTTCGATAATTTTCGGACGCCTAACTAAGACTCGTGAACTGCAAACACGTGAAAATCAGGCTGGCTTCAGACTTGGTCGTGGCTGCATCGACCACATATTCACCATTCGTCAGGTTCTAGAACACAGGCATACTTATCGGCGTCCGACAATAGTGGTCTTCCTTGACTTAAAAGCAGCGTTTGACTCTGTTGACCGAGAGGTTCTGTGGCAGTGTTTGTCATTGAAAGGCGTACCTCAGAAGTACATAAATCTTGTGAAGGCTCTTTACGCGAACACTACTAGTCGAGTCAGAGCTTATGGCGAACTGTCATCTGCTTTCGCAACCTCAAGTGGCGTCCGCCAAGGCTGTCCACTTTCTCCACTTTTGTTTAACTTCATCATAGATCTACTGATGGAAATAACGCTCTCATCGACTGAATTCTCAGGTATTGATCTACCAGGAGGTCAACTTATTGACTTAGAATACGCAGATGACATAGTCCTGTTTGGTGAAGACACTGATGAAATGCAGAGTCTTTTGGTAGCACTGAACAACAATGCCAGAATGTTTGGGATGCGCTTCTCTCCCTCCAAATGCAAGTTGTTGCTTCAGGACTGGTCTGCGTCAACACCTGAACTAAGGATAGGGAGTGAAGTAGTCGAACGCGTCGACAACTTCACTTGTCTTGGAAGTCTGATCAGCCCTAATGGGTTGGTGTCTGACGAAATCTCAGCACGGATTCGAAAAGCTCGCTTGGCCTTTGCCAACTTACGTCATCTATGGCGAAGGTGAGATATCCGTCTATCAATTAAGGGACGAGTATACTGCGCGGCAGTTCGTTCCGTTCTACTATACGGCTGCGTAACATGGCCTTTAAGAGTAGAAGATATTCGTAAGTTACTAGTATTTGACCACACGTGCCTTAGAAATATTGCGGGTATCTGCTGGGATCACCGGGTAAGTAATAGTGAGGTTAGACGCAGGGTATTAGGGAATGATTGTAAATCAGTTGATGAGGTTATGAACCTTCATCGACTGAGATAGTTGGGCCACGTGCTGCGTATGCCTGAACACCGATTACCACGACGCGCAATGCTAACCGGTGTTAGGGATGACTGGAAGAAATTTAGGGGCGACCAAACCAAAACGTGGCATCAGTGCTTGAAGTCACTAACTTCTGGGCTGAGCCATGTTGGTAGATGCAGACTGCTTGGTTGGGGTCCGCGTGACTATCATAACCAATGGTTGGAGACTGTGGGTGACATGGCTCAGAATCGATCACAATGGCGTCGGTGTATACACTCTCTGTCTTCCTTTAATCTAAGAGATTAAAATCGCTTCATATCATTCTTTCTAGGAACTAATTCTATCTTCCTGTACTATCTCCTTATACACACTCTTTCTTCTATATATTACCACCACTGAATTAACTACTTCTATGAATCCGGTGTTCATGTTGTTGTGCTAATGCGGTATGGCAACTTGGACCGACGCATATACGTGCCTGGTCCTACGTCGCAGCTGACTAACTGACTGTTATTGGAAATATAATTACATTCCATCCAACCGTGTTCTGATTTGGGGACTTGTCGAGTGAAGTTTTGTCCAAGAAATACTAAGCAATAAGAGAAGCTGGGTCGTAATAACAGAAATCAAAGCATCATGATAGATAAGTTGTACTAATATATAATTATATTTTTGTTCAGACTGTATTAAATCTTATAAGCTTTATTATTTTACTCATTTAAAATGACTAATTACTGTGATTGCTTCCTATCCTTATTCAAAAATCCATCTCATTTTATTTTACCATTAAAATGATCAGCAATTTTTATCATTTGTTATTTTTTTGGAATCATCTAAGGTTTCGTTAGGTAAACAAAGAGAATTATATCAATCATGTTCTAATGCTCATGAAAATCTCGCTGATTATCATAGTGTAAAAGGTGTTGGTAAATGGCGAACAAATTCCGAAACATGGAAAACTTTGTAAGATGTTTATTTGTGTTGTTTTCTGTTTCGAATATATTTTTATTTCATTTCTATATCATCTTATATAAATAGATATATACTATCAGTATGGGGGTTTGTGGAGATTATAGTAATGTTGACAGTTGAATTCATAAGTCGATCTAAGCTAGATCACCATTGGAAAACTAGATGCACTGGACGATCATTTCGTCTTTCTGAGGAGTCCCATATTATGACGAAAACGGCCGTTCAGTGCTTCCACGTTTTCAATGGTGGTCTAGCTTAGATCTACTCATGAATCCAACTATTAAAAATATCTCTTTTACTATATCATTTTTCATATGGTGAATATTTTCAACTTAGTACTGGTCCATCATGTGACTAATACTTGTAAACTAATTAATTGATTTTTTTCTTTTGCATAGTTTATTACACAATTTAAACTATTGTTTAAGCAGAGAAAATCTACTCTGCTCATTTCTAGTTGTTTTGCTTGATCTGTACACTTTTATCGTTAGCTTAATCAGTACGGCACGACTTGAAAATATGGCAAATATTGCGCATTGGTTCAAATTGGTTGTCACATCACTTCAAGTTAGAGAAATGAAATTATAAAAACTTATACCTCGAGTAGTTGGAATAGTGACGGTATCATGGGTAGTATAGAACACTAGACATAGAGCATATGGTTTGAGAAAATATAAATTCATAGAATAAAAACGTCCAAAATAATTTTGCAACTCAAGATATAAAGGAAGACGAAAATGAATGAGGCTGGAACATTACGAGAGATTCTGAGCAGTATCACTGTTGTATCTTGAGATTAATGTTCGGTACAGGCCTAACTATTGAACGTTTGAACGTATCCTAGTAGGAATAATGTCTATTACGGACTTTATAGAACGGTGACAAGCACACACTAACACTCCTACGTTAATAAGCTACACCCTTATACTCTATAGAAAAGATGGGACTTCCTGTATATCCTACTATTACACAAAAACTTCAAACATTGCAAGGAATTGACTCTATTTATATATTTACATACAGTACCCTTAGGGCGTTTAAAAAAATTTACTAAGTAAAAATGGCAAGACAGCTAATCAGATGATCAAAAAGGTTATTGCAGAAAGATTAATTTGAAACATGTCCTCCAGGCTATGTTTTAAAAAAGCTAACTATTGATTATGAGTCACTCAGACCCCAACCAGGTAGTCTGCACCTACCTACATGGCTCAACTTAATGGTTTATGATTCTATGGATTAATGGCACCAGTCAAGTTGACATCTTTTGTATTGTAATCAGTTAAGTATTTGATCTTATTCCAGTTCTGGCTGTGTATGACCAGCTTCCTGTTCTGTCTTTATCATTTACGTAATAATTTGAAACTAAGATTAAAGTTTAGTCCCGTTGTCAGTCGAAGGTTATAACTCCTCATCTAATGAAGCATCAAGCTTGGTAATCCGATAGCATTTAACTGAGTTGGACTTCATTTAATTTTCGTTGTTATGCTGCTGTGAAATACAGCAATTTAAACCGTATTATTACTGCAACATAACTAATTCAACTGTATGAAATAGACGAAGGATGGCTATCAGTAGAATCCAGAACGCTTGTTTCGTCCCACTTGGGACTGGTTAGCTAAATGTACCTGCATCTCAGTGTTCAGGTTCATACATAGACTCGAACTCAGCATCTTTCGCTTTCAAACCCCTTCTAATAATGATATGATTATTATTCCGTCTTAAAACTTATTTAAAATGGCACAAAGCAGAGAAGATAATCACCGATGCTAGATTATGACTTATCCAACATTGAGAACAGATCAAACATTATGTTTTGAACGCACAGATTTGTACACATTTTACTTGATTAATAATAACCACTTTAAGTAAATTGAACTTGTTCACTATTTTATTAGTTATTTACTATATGAAGACAAGTTACAAACATCATAAAATTGAGCTTACTGCAATCAACATACAATAACTAATCTACTGTCTTCTGTTAAAAAACTTGTATGACTTTGTGCAAGGTTGTACATTGTTTGTGATCGATTGGATGAAATTTATTGACGTACTTCGCACAAACTAACCATATCGTTTTTTTTAAAGTAGGTTGAGGTATGTTAAGTACGATCACCTTTAACAGTACAACTGCATATCGAATATGAATTTAACTTTTATTCAGTAAATATTTGTTTAATTATGTACAGATGTGTTCTATGGACATTTTAGGTGTAAACTTAAAGACAAATTATTATCACAAACTAACATCAACTAGGTAATCCTTGCAAACCAAGAGCTATCTTAGATAGTAGTTTGTTTGATAACGTTGACTATTGCCTGCTCTTTAGATATCAGTTTATTGCTTGTTTGTGACTGCTTATCAGCTATTACCCCAATACCATGCAGGTATATTGTAGTTGGTTTTAACAGCCCATTTATCAAATATCTGTCAACTGTCGTTCAGTCGCAGTCAAAGAGATATGACTCAAGGTCTGTCGATTACCGCTTTATCCACAGAAGGAAAAGGAATATGCGCGACCTAAGTGTTAACATCGAATAAAAGAATTTAAGCACATGCGACTAGGCCAAAATAGCATATCAGTCGATGTGCCTGAAGTCGATAGGGTATGTGTTGCGCATGCCCAGTCATTACTTACGTCAATGTGCAAGCAATGTTGGATAGAGTTACAGCGACTGAACTAAAGATTATCGCCACTGTGTGTAGTTATTGGTTTTTGGTTTGAGCCATATTGTTGATTGTAGTGCACGCAGTTGAACTCTTAGAGATAACCGTAATCAGCGATTAATGATACTGTGTAATATGGCTTACAGTTAATCGCAATGACCTAGAGACTTTCTCTCTTTATCTTCCGATTAGATCTTCAGTTCTGGTATCCCTTCTCACACTCACGGTCACTTTCGGTTTAATCTTGTATAATTGTTATTTTTCATTTTATGATATGAAGCGGTCTGGTTTGCTTTTATATATACTACGTATGTCTGAAGTATATTATTTATACAGTGGAGGCTGAGATTGCATTCTACATTCAACGAGCAAGGTTAAGTGAAAACGACCAATAAAGATTTAGGGTTGATACAAGACCGCTTATTCTGATTGGACGTGTAATTCATTGATTTAGCACAAGAGCAAAATCATATAAATCAGTATTCAAATTGACGATTTTATCCTATGATAATTAACAGAGAAGAAAAAGTCATAACAGTTTACATATGATAGTTTTCAATATCTATTAAACAATATTCTGTATAATTTCACTCGGTGTTGTTTAACATGTTGGTATATTGTACATCCTGTGAGGATTGCCTTATTATAGCCTTAAGTCACAAGATATTTAAGCAAAGATGGATAATGGCTAACAGTGGAATAGGACGAAACGCACATCGTGGATTCCACTGCTAGCCCAGTATCCATCTTTACTTAAAATAATCTGTATAATTTTATTATTTTCATAAATTTTTCTTCTATTCATTTAGAAATGATGGTGTTATAGTACCATGTGGAAAATTAATTCAAGCACCTGAAATTGAAGCAAATAAATGTATTTTACAATTTAATGAATATATTGTCTATTGTGTAAATCAAATACGTTTACGATATTTACTGAAGGTGAAATTCAATTTTATTCATTAAAATATCTTTGTCAATATTGTTATTTTTTTTTTACATACAAATATTACTGATTGTAACCGGTCCCTTTTAGTAACTATGATGTTTTCGTTTTTTATATATGATAAGATTACTGAAACGTTTTATTTTTATTATTTTGTATAATAAAATTTATATACGTATAAATTTGATCTATTTTTCATTACGAGTTGATTTTCTTTTGTTGTTTAGTCATAACAGAAGGGTTTTTAAAGATATTATAGTAATTTCAATGGTTGAGATCATGAGTCAGTTGAAGTTAGACCACCATGGAAAACCTGGAAACATTGGACGGCTGTTTCGTTCAGTTTTGGGACTCCTCAGCAGTGTGTATCCATGGTCCGGCCTCGCGAGATTCGAACCCAGAACCAGTCAGTCTCGCGTGCGAGCTCTTAACCACTAGACCACTGAGCCGCACGGTATCCACCGGCGTTAATGACTAACATCAACCAATCCACGAAACTGAGTGACTGTTTTGTCATAAGTTAATTTTTAAGCGGTTGGTATATCTTCCAACAACAAAACACGCGTCTGTTGATTACTTCATTCTTTATCGTATGTAAAATCAGTAATTTTCTACATTACCAATAACACAACGATCAACTAAATAGACTTTAAAACTTGTTGGTCTTCTAACTCGTTCCAACCTAGTGTCTAATGAGAAGAGGAAGTTCGTACGACAGGTTCCTAATGAAACGACAGTATGAATAAGACATTAAATGTTATCCATACCAACACTGTTAGTTAAGGAATAAACTGATTAATAGGTCTTTAATTAGTGAACAATAATTTAAAGAAGGTAACGTCTACAACAGTAGTTTTTGAGCCAAACTACAATGTTCCAAGTATTTATACGAATATTCGTCATTAGTAGAACGAATATTTTGACAAAAACTGGACGCTGAGTATTTAATATTTGTACAACAAAATACAAACAATAATGACATTTACTTATTCTTGAGTTATCTAGTTCGATTTATAGATTGAACAGTTGATAACTTTGAGCAAATTGTCAGAATTAAGATGGATCTTTGCACGAAAGACACCTATCAATGTAAACTGGATAAAAATTACCGATATTTGTTTTCTAAAATGCTTGAAATTAATAAGAATATCTATTATGCAACCAAACTGTGAGTTTGACATTGTGTTTAAACTAAATTATAGGAAACATGTTTCTGGTTAGAAGTAGATGATTTCAGAGTGCTCGATCTGATTCAATGCATAGTCTAGGGTATTCGCGTTGCTAAACGGTTTCCTCCCACACTAATTTCAATCTCAACTCTAACTCTCCTAAGTGTGTACTAGAGGGTAGAAAAGAATCATTGGATAATTGCTGATGTCAAGTCGTGACAACCATAAATCATGACACTAACTCAACTCCTATTACATAACCACATTTTTCCCTTACTGTAATGAATAATCTAACATATAAGAGTTCAAACGAAAAGACAATGTAATATAATGAATCTGTTAGATATTTCATAACTTCCTTTACGGTTATGTACCAGCTAATAAAATTATGTTGTTCACGATATTAACATAAGTGGAATTTTAAGGAATGCATTGTTAGGAATAAGTTACTCGGAATGTAAATGAAGTGGGAATTGAAGGTGCAACGGAGATTTCATAAATATTTTCCTACCTGAGTTCATAAAGAAATATCGTGCTGAATAGCACAAAAGGATGCTGGTTAAGAAATGTATTTTTTAACAAATTGATGTTCAGAGGTATTCAGATCCCTGCGAAAACTAACTAGAAACCTCAAGCGAGTATTGAACAACAGGACCTCGGCAGCAAAATTGTTTTCATTACATATGACGTGATATTCAATAACGTAAATGAAGGTAGATATAAAACTGTCGTATTCCGCCACAAAAATGTACTAGTTTACAGTTATCCTGGAAATCAGGTTAAGCTCAAGTTTTTGAAAACGCACCACTTGCTAGATATACGGTGGGTACGGTTTACGCATTTAAAGTGGTCAACTATGTACTGTTGTCTTATTGGTATTTGCGGAAACCATGGCGATTCAAAGGCTTAAAACTAGTCTTGATAATGGAAATGGAACCATGGTTAACCCATAAATACTTCAGCAACACAACCGGACAGGATGTTTTACCAATTTTTTTTCGATTAATTTAGGCCATGATCTTGTTTTTGCTATATTGTGTCATAAAATTTTCTCTAACATCCATAAAAACCTTGTTTATATTCCAATCGACTTATTCTTTGTTGATGAGTAATACATTTGTCAAATTTTCTATTATGTTGATATTTTGAAAAAAAAACTAACTTGATTATCTGTTGTGTATCTGAAGGGAGAGTAATGAGATCTTTAATGAATTCACCATGATTTGCAAATACTACTTTATCCAGGTTTGTGAATGAAAACAAATGCAAAGTTCACAAAGTTAAACCTTTTTCTCGAAGTGTGTTTTAATCCAAGACTGTGGAAACTACCTGTAAACTTTTTCATATTGTAAGACATGTTTACTGTTAGTGATATGTACAGTTCAGGCAATGTTAGATAACTGAAGCATTCACTCAAGCTAGTTTTAACTAAAAATCATGGTTACGTTAAGACCAAAAGAAAAATGGATGTCATCAAACTACGGTTTGAACGTTGTGGAGTTCTTAAGATTTTGTCGAGATTCGATATCGAATCTTGGAGTGTGACAACTATTTACTTGAATGGAGTGAAGCAGGAACGTCTGTATGTCTGATATTACGAAGCAGACAACTAAATTTTTCATCATTACTTAGCTAACAGTTCAGTAGAATTCAATAGGTGCTGTTGCTATTGCAGTTACCAAAATGATAACGACTTGCTCTACCAGTCATTTTTCACGTGATAAGACACCCTGACCTCATTTCTGAATAATAAACTAAGATATATCAAATAGATCCGTCACCATAAAATAAAATATTTCGATATGCTTCTTACGTCGACATAAATAATATATAACACACGTCAGAAGTAGAATACCTAAAAGCAGAAGGTTGAGAAGATCGAAGAGAACGGGAATAAAGTAACTGTTATGGCAATGAATTTTGAGACAGTTAATGGAATACTTGTAACTGAAGTATTCTATGTATGATTCTTATATTTTATCGAGATATTCTGTAATTTTGTATTGAAATACGACTGATTGTCCCCAGCCTGTTTTCTCGTTCATTACATGCTTGGAGCTCTAGGTACATATATTAGAACTCCTACTCTAATCTGGTAGATTAAAATCAATACTGTTAAACAATTTTTCATATCTAACCTGAATTACAGGTCATTATTGTTACTAGTTGATAACAGGTGGTAGTTTCAATTTAGAAATGGATAGTTTCCTAAAGTTATATTTGGTACTGAACACCTAGTTCATACACATGCTTAGCTTCTCATATAATATATTTGCAAACGTTATATTTTCTTTTTATGAATAAATAAAGACATATAATTGAATTAATAAATAATTATATTTACAGTTGGGAAACGCTATTTATCAACTATAAGATAAATGTTCGCCGACTTCTACCAATTTCTGTTCGTTTACGAACCCATTCATAATTACCATATTGACTATCAAAAGTGCCTAATTGAATTGAACGTAATTTCAGTGTGAATTTCGGTCCAACTTCATTCATTGCGATATGTTCAGTATTATGTTTACCTTCATTTTCATTATCATCATCATTATGAACATCAGTTGTATTACGATGTATATAACGATAATGTCGAAAAAATATATAATCTCTTTGATTATGAAAAACAATTGTTCTACTATGTGGTTGTGGTGGTAAACGACTTTCATTAGGAAATAATGAACTTAAAATACGTTCAGTACGTAGACCAAGACGTGTCATAAAACGTGTAGTAATTAAATGTGGTATTATATTCGATTCAATATATTTGGCTGATTTAGCTGAACGCATTTCACGACGAAGTAATACATTAGTTAGGCGAAATGTAGCTGTTGGTCCATTTGGTAAATGACTAACTATTAGAGTATTAATTTTTTTCTGATCTTCATTAACAATTAATAAACAGGTGAATTGACGTTCGATAGCCATAGGAATAATTTTCTTTAGAGGTAAATGCCAACGTGCAACAAGTTGAACATTTGGAATGACCTAATAATTTTGTATATGAAATTATAAATAATGTTAGTTAAAAATGATAGAGATTTTCTGAAAAAAAACTCTATATATCATATGGCTTGGAGACAATGTGCTTTTAACTAGATTTTGTAACTATTAGTGCTCACAATCAATGTGTATCGGTAATATTAATTACACCTATTACCCCAAGTGGAGGATAGGCCGCGCACCAGCATTATACATCCAACTCTGTGCTGGACAATCTTTTCCAAATGTTTCCAGCTGCCATTCATTCTTATCATGTCTGCTTTCAACCCACTGCACAGTGTGTTCTTTAGCCTTTCTCTTTTCCGTTTCCCTTCAGATGATGTCCGTAATGTATGTCCTATCCGCTTACAGAGTTTATTTCTAATTTCCTCTTCAGCTAGAAACTGGTTTGTTCTCTCTCACAACGGGCTGTTGCTGATATCCGGCCAAAAGACATTCAATATCTTACGTAGACAATTGTTTATAAATACTTGTACTTTTTTGATGATGGAATTTTTTTAACTGAATGCATGATAACAGTTATTTAGACCACAAATAATTTCGCATAAGTTCGTAACATGAAGAGAAAACTGTTAACTACATCAACATTTTATATTGATTAAGTTCTATAGATAAAATTTCATTATAACTGGATGGTTTCCCATTGATATTAGACTATGTTTAATACATATGAATCGTTTATAATGCATCGTAAAAGTTTGACACAGATTTGTGTACTCAACACACATCGAAGTAGATGAGACGTCGTTTTTATAATTTGGAGATCGAAAGTTAAATAGACTAACGAATAATTCACTTTTCAAATCTACCCAAGATTTAGCACAGTACGTTAAAAACAAAATTTATATAGACTAACTGATGCAGATGCATTCAGTGTCTATCTCCTCTAGCTTTTGACTTTCAATATTTCTTGATGTATACCTTCTTTTTGAGCCATAGTCTCCAGTGTTGAGTCTCTCTCACTATTGTTAAATTAATTTCGTACCGATGTAGCACCGGAACTTGGCTCAAAGCCCATTTTTTCCATGCCATGAGTTGATTAGGACTGAGAATACATTTAACCTGCGGAACTTCAGGTCACTGATCTGTCTCATAAACAGACAAAATAACATATACAAGAAAAATTTATATCCCATTTTACATCTTTTTTTCACTGATATTTAAATGCCTGTAAATTCCCCCAAATGTGTAAAATATTGCTTCATAATTGATCTACATTAAGGCAGCAGTACGCTGATTTAATGTCTGTCTGTAAAACGTGACCCTATGAAGTAGACGACATTCGTAGGTCACTATATTGAACCACAGAACCGCTCGTGTTTGGTGGGGGGAGCAATGTTAATTTTAAACATAAACCACAAGGCACAGATGGAATATTAATTGATGAAACTGAATACGCATCGAATGTGTTGGCTGAGATAAGTGTTAAATATCCTTAGCCACTGTAAAGAATTGTTATCAGTGTGCAGAATCAATGATTAACAGTTCAGTCATCATCAACGTAGAGCCTAGCCTAAGTTTCCACACCATATTAGACGTGTTGGTCGGTGCACACTATTTAATTGGCGTCCGAGAAGTCGACATAATCAGTAGTTACAGGCATTTATTGGCATATCTCAGGATCCTTACGTGGTGCGTGTATTCATTTTCTGTCTATTACGGAATCCTGAGTTTCAAAATCATTTAGAACTTTTATGACGCAAGTCCATCCCTTCTCTATTTACGTTTTTATATCGCATATGCTATTTTCACTGCCTTGCGATTCATTTCGTTAGTTTTATTTTGATATGCTGATATATTGTTAAAACTGAAACACATTTGTGTTATGTTCTACGTTTCTTATGACTAACTAACCGACTATTTTTTTTATTTTTAACACATAGGCATTTGCACAAGGAGGCAACAAATACATATGCGCCACACAAGTCTCAATTGATTTGTGTGAGGGCTGTGATACTGCCCGGGTGCCCAAACCGAAGCAGGTAGTTTTCTTAGGGGGCCACACCCGGAGCCTTCGACCTGAACGTCTGACCCACAAGGCAGTGGAGCATCGTAAGGAGATGCAGTCCCATGGTAGCCGGTGACCAACGATTGGTTCATACGCCATTTGTTCACTCAGGATACTGGAGCCCATGTGCACCATTGGTTTGGGATCCGGTTAAAGCGCCGGACATTCGCGTTTCGTCCTCTCATTTTCGTAAACAACACCCCCGCCACGAGAAGGCAGTGAGTAGGACTTCCCTGGCAGAGGCTATATACACGTGGCCATGTGAGAGCATTTCGAGAGGGAGAGCGGACTCTCCCCACTCTCGGCCGTACCAGGGCATTTGGGGGCCTAAGGCTGTAGATTTATATGTTTTTAAAATCAATCAAGTTACTCAGTTTTAAACTGAACTTCAGAAATATAAATCACTAAATTTGGGTTACTCATAAATACACATGTGTTTTCATGATGATCGACAAAAATACAAGACTAAAAGTAGTTTTATTTACTCTTCTCTTAAAATGTCGACAACTAATAAAGTTTAAAACTTAAATGTAAAAATTTCAATGTCAAGCAATACTTACCATACTTAGTTCTTTACAAAACCCAATTGTCCTAGGACAAACACGATCAGAATGAGTCAACAAAATTTTAGGAGTAACTTCTCCATTAAAAATAGATGAAAACTCATCCTAGATTAGAGAAATTTGAGTATTTATTTTATACAACATACTGTTTCATGTTCAATGACAACTTCTTCATCATCTTTAGGAACGATTGTTTCATCAACTGTTCTAAGTGATTCAAGAGTTTGAGGAATTCCTGCCGGTGCGCCACTTTCTTTTCGTTGTTTGCGTTTGATTCTACGTTCTTTTGCTTTTTGAATCCTTTCCTTGTGTATTATATCTCTAAGATGGTGACGTGTAGTTTCTTTACGAATCGGCATGATCAGAAAATTTAATTTATTTGAATTTCATAAGCACTTAGTGTTTGTTGGATGGATATACACAATTACAAAACACAGCCGAAAGAAAGCTATAAACATAGAACAATCTAAGAAAACAAAACATAAAACGGAAAAAAGTTAAACTTTACGGTGGTATGAAAATTTATAGAAAGGGATTGATAAACAAGGTTAAATCCTCTAATTGTTAAAGCGATCGCATAATGTAGGTGTTTCCGAATCGAAAGGGTTTGAAACGGCATAAATCAATGAAAACAAAGACTTCAAAAATCAGACATCTAGTTGCCATAATTTGAGGACAATGTTCATAACGAACCAATATCACGTGGAGGGAGGATAATAAAATGGTACTAGTCCGTCATTTCGTCTGAAACTGAAACACTTCAGTACTTCAAACACGAAGCTTCATATGAAATAGATCTTAAGACCTTAAATTTTGGTGATGATAATAGTGGTATTCAGATACTGAGGAATTTAATGCACCACACTTTTAAAATCTAACCAACTAGCAATATAATTTGAACATTGTCTATTATCTTTGATGGTGATTTCCTTCATTTAAGAATGAACTGAACGATTATGAATTTTTATCTTACAAAAAGTTATCAGACTAGTTTATGGTGCTGGATTAAGTACTAAGACACTGGTTAACAGTGGTTCTCTAGAGTATCTATTTTCAAAAGTTCTATTAAGGTTGATAGAAATAAAACCGAACCTAAGACCCATTATTCTTACTAAATTATGAAATTAGTTTTGGAAGTGTGAACCATTGAATTCTGATAAGTGGCAAAATAATAAAGCTATGACTGCGAGACCTGAATATCCAGGTATTGAATCCCGCGTATACACTACTAATGACTGCAGTGTTGTCTGGTATTTGTGAACATATTCAAAGGCTGCTCCATCTTTGGCACGAGCACTAAAGTAGTCATATTGTGGCTAACAGCCGAGCACGTAAACCTGTATTTGATAAATGATTTGTAAGACTGCCTAGCCCTAATTTATAGAACGTAACAGAAAAAACAATTCGGATCTACATCGTGTTTGATCAAGGAGGCTTATACTGCGTTGAGTATATACATATAATAAAATCTATGATTCACTAGCATTCAGTATGTGATATTTTCTATTTTAAGTTCAGTAATGATTACCATGCCTAGTTAAATCTACAGTGATTATTATCGGTTCGCAAGGGTTTAAATTTTGCCGCTGTTGAAACGGAGGATATTGGGTTTGAGTCTCGGGAGGCATGCCAACACTGAGATGAGGCCACATACAACTAATGAACTCTAAATAGAACGAAATACTCCTTCTGAACTGAATTGCTGGATACTACGCAACATTACTTACGGACAGAGTTTACTCAACAACAAACAAGCTAATTTACCAACGAAATGGAGTGAGATAATATTCGATAAAAGAGGCTGTGTAATACTTAGTAGCATATAAATATCGACGAAGTATGAACTCCAACCAATTTGTTTATAACAGTATTACAGAAACGTTTATTAGTTAACGTGATTTAGACTGAAAAGTTTTCGGATTATGTCGAGAATTGCTTGGTAAGTGTTCTTTGTTTCGTATTTGGAACAACTGATTAACTTTTGAGAACTTTTCTTAAAATCAATCACAAAGCTACCAAGACAATGTTAAGAGCTTTACTTAAATGAACTTAAAAAGGAATTATGTTGCCGCTGATCAATTATTCAGAACCTATAAATACAATAAACAACATTATCTTCTTTAAGAAACTGTCTAACTAAAAAAACTAGCACTTTAAAATCTGTAACAGCAGAATCGTCAGTTAACAACAAAAAGGTCTATGACCATATACTTGAGTGACACTTTATTATTTATTTTATTTTAACACATAGATATTGGTACAAGGAGACACCAAAATACATATGCGCCACACATCTCATTTGATATGTGTGAGCGCTGTGATACTGCCCGGTTGCCCAAACCGAAGCATGTGGTTTTCTTAGGGGGTGTATCTAATTTGACCGATGAAGATAAAATTTCCCTTATTAGGGTAAAGTATAGACGTTATATGGCTAATTAACAAGTAGAGAATATCATGAATGCATTTGTAGTATGTAATTATAAAACCTCTAATTTTAACACATCGGATTCAATTAGATTAAAATTTTACCATTCATGTAATATACTGTCAGTCTAATAAAGCATCCTATCTCAGGTAAAAAGAATGGAACTGACCTATAACCCACGTTGATTCTAAAACAGCTAATAATAACATCATATAACCAATATCATTGTAATGAGCTAGTGCAAACCAATCAAACTGAAATCAATGACAATTGAAAACCACTTTAATAGGTACATACTACCTGAATCAGGTCCACATGATTTTCCTAAAGAATGGTTCCACTTAGAATGACATAGGTCAAAATCGCTTAAAATGGAGCAGGTGCGTCCATTCTTTGTCTTTCCACAAATCTAAAGATTCTAAATCCCTTATAACTTTCCCGTTTTTGTCTCGCTAATTTATACATTTTTCGAGGCGTATTTTTGATGCTTAATGCTAACAGACAATCACAGGCAGATCACGAGGTATGGAAAAGTAATACAAATGAAAGTGAAAACGAATCCATCTGTTAGTGTGCGGTCTGGCCACTATTTTATTCAAAGGATGACAGATTATCAGTACTTGCATGGTTGTCGAGTTCAGTATTAAAACATCATTGGGGACTTCAACGCTCCGGACATAAACTGGATAGAGCTTACAGCTCCAGGTGGAGGTCTCGATAGCGAACTTTTATCAACAGTTATTCAGTGTGCACTTGTCCAGTGTATCACTAAACCGACACATATTGATTTGAAACGTGATCCGTCACTGCTGGACCTCGCCCTCACCCACCACTGTGAGGACGTCTTTGATATTCAGCACCTTCCTCCACTAGTGAACAGTGATCACGTTGTACTTTACTTTAAGTTTAGGACACATGGTATACGATTTGTATCTGCTCCACCCCGTCCCAATATCTGGCGGGCTAATATTCCGGCAATCAGAGACTGTGAGGTCTCTACTGATTGGTCGGTTGACGCAGATGGATCGATCGAAGACGAATAGATTAAGTTTAAGGCTACATTCGAGTCTGTAACGTCGCCGTTTATCCCATGGTCAGCACGTAAGCTATCGCATTGCCCTCCATGGATTAATAAGGAAACCCGTAAACTGTTAAAGCGTAGGAAACACTTCTGGGACTTATTCTTGTTGACAGGTCATGCATCTTTTAAGCGTGAGTACCAAAAACTCCGGAATATTTGTAAGAAAACAATAGCTAAATCCCGTATTACTTACGAACGACAGTTGGTATATGATAGCCGTACTTGTCCAAAACGATTGTTTTCGTATGTTAAACGGCAAATAAAACGTAGTGATAGTATTCCCCCATTATTGTTACACGATAATTCAGGTTTACTAGCTGAATCAGATCGAGCCAAAGCTGAGACATTTTCAAACTACTTTAGCGAAGTCTACTCTACGTTTATTGTAACAAATACTTGTCCCAATCACGCCGAGATACCAGCCATTGAATCTGTACAGGTGACTGAAGAAACTGTCCTTCCGTTAATAATTAACCTCAAACCTTGTAAGATACTGGGTTCTGACGGGTTACATCCACGACTGCTGTCATCTCTTGCAGACATTATTTCAAAACCGCTCGCGACACTCTTTAACATGTTCCTTTCACCCGCTCAACTACCTAGGGATTGGAAAGATGCTATTGTCAGTCCTATATTTAAGGATGGTCAGAGACACATCGTATCTAACTACCGACCTGTCAGTCTGACTAGCATTGTCGTTAAGTTACTTGAAAAGATAATTCGGGTTAGGTTGCTAAGCCACGTAGATTCACACAATCTGTTAGCTCCTGAGCAACAAGGATTTCGTGATAAGCGTTCATGCTTGACTAACTTATTGTGAGAGAGGGTTGGACAGCAGCCTTACATAAAGGTCTGTCTGTCGATGTTATATTCATAGATTTTAGCAAAGCATTTGACAAGGTTTTACACTTAGGTCTTATGCAGAAGCTCACAAGCTTCGGAATAATAGGTGCTGTACAGGAGTGGATAGGAAACTTCTTATGTGACCGCAGACAGAGAGTGAGGGTCAATAGGACGCTATCCGATCGGAAGCCGGTCAAAAGTGGTGTACCCCAAGGCACCATATTAGGCCCTCTGCTATTCCTTCTCTACGTAAATGAGTTACCGCTGTTGCTTAGGTCGTCGACATTATTATTTGCGGATGATGTCAAAATATGGAGAGCAATAAGAGGTGAGGCTGATCATCTGGATCTTCAAGCTGACTTAGACGATTTAGTTAGATGGGCTCGAGATTGGGGTTTAGAAATCAATTCTAGGAAGAGTGTGCTAATGCACATCGGTCACGGCAATAGTTACCATTATACTATTGATGGTAAACCTCTTCCATGCGTTCAAGAACTTAGGAGTAATAATAAGTCATGATTTAAAAACAACTGCGCACTGCAACGCAGCCGCTGTCAAAGGTTTTCGTGCGTTGTGGTCACTTCGCCGAGCGTTTAAATCCTTTGACGAGGAAATGTTTCGAATTTTATATCCCACCTATGTAAGACCACATTTAGAGTACTGAATTCAAGCAGCTAGCCCATGTTCGATAAAGGATATTACCTCACTTGAGCGTGTCCAGCGTGTGGGAACGAAATTAGTGAAGGGTCTTTCTAAACTCCCTTACGATGAGCGTTTGAAACGCTTAAACCTTTTCCCCTTGTCGTATCGTAGGACTCGAGGTGACCTTATACTGGCATTTCGTATCTTTAATTATGATTTGGGTGTTAATATGTCTTATCTTTTTGCTCCCTCCAGCACTAATAATCTCCGAGGTCACAGCAAGAAGGTTCATAAACCACGATCTAATAAACTCAAGGTGGGGTTCCGTTTATCTCATCGAGTAGTCAATGATTGGAACGCTTTACCCGATCAAGTGGTATCAGCCCCATCAGTGAATATTTTCAAAGAGAAACTGGACCTTCACTGGAAGCCAACCTGTTAGGATTAACACAGGTTCACTAACCTACTATCCTTATTACTGAAGACTGAAGACTAAGTAGTGGGTTGTGGACACGTGTTGAAAGGTTATACATTCTAGTTAAGCGGCTGGTAAGATCCATTACACCGGTGGTCACCGAGCGTAATGGGGATACTTCTAAATAATCGCTTGGTTCGTCTGGTTCTAGTGTAGACATGGAGGATTCTTGGGTGTATGAAGTATCTGGCTTGTGATAACATTTAATATTACCGTGGGTGGCCAATATTCTCTGACTCTTGACATGAAAGTTCTCAACTAGAAGCTAGTCATTCGACAGTAGGTAGTCAGGTGTCGATGGACTATCGTCCTCCTAACCTTCGTCGTCACCCATTGCAGTACCAACCAGGTTATTGAAGATATTATGGGAAACGATAAAACAGGGCCTCCGAAACCCACTTATCCAACAATCATTATCAGGAACGCATGCAGTAGTGAGTACAATATATTGGCGAAACCAAGGAACATAGAATGTAATAAGCCCATTTGGAACTAGCAAAGAATTCCTAACCTACTTATAAATGGCAGATCTTTGTAGCATACTTCGCTACACAATTATGCCAAGCGGACATCCAAATGGAGCACGCTACAACAACATCTAACTTCTTGAATAACATTACTGAATATATATAACAATATATGACCATATAAGTACCAGCCAAAGATATGAGCAAAAACCACTTAGATCCTGGGACAGTATAACGAAGACTGAACTCCTTGCGATCAGATACATCATTAGGTTGTCACAATATCCGTCTAGTAGTACTGAAACAGTGAGCTGAGACAACTTGCACACAAGAACTCAACATTTTTGGAGATCAATATCAGACCACTCTCTATAAACGCACGCCATTCTATAATTAGTCTTTAAAAGTGGAGAAACTCCAAACTGTAATCGCAATTACCCTTTATGAAGGGTCGCAAAATTTCCTTTAATCTACATAAGTTCGGAAGGCCTGTCAAATGACCAGAAAGAAGTTTGTGGGAAAAATCAAAAACCGTTAATAAGCACAATATGAATTGAGGAAATATAGGTATTCTCTATCTAATCTCCGAACACGGGCTAGCCAGATAAATTGCAGGAGCTAGAAAGCAACTGCTTAATAACTATCTTTTCTGTCGATGAGTGTGTGATTACGTGAGAACAGTTGTTAGTGAACATAAATGTGAAGTCAAAATGTGTACCACATAGCCACTAAATTCCAGAGCTTACAGAACGTGGGGAAGAACACATTCAAAAATGGGCACAAGGACACGTATTCAAACCTCAAAATACAGGTATCGTAGCATGGAAATACTGAACTTAGTTTTTTTAAAAGACATATTTGTGTACCAGAGGATTTTTCGTGCATTTAAAGTCTTTATTAAAAGTAGGAGAGATCGATTTCAGTGTTGTTGGTCAAAAATAAGGTTCCTTCGATGCGCTACCCTTCAACTAGCAGCGGTAAAGAAACGCCTATAAAACCAAGTCATAAGGCTAAATCCGTTTGCAGTAGGCACAGCTGTGTTGGCTACTCTAGTAAAAACTGGTGATTGCATATAAATCAAGAACGATAAACAACCTAGTGTCGTTTATTAAAAGCCAGTCTCCCATACAGTTTCTGAGAAATCGAAGGCTAAGAGTATAGATAATTCAGTCATATTTCACAGACCCAGGGTGATTGAGAGCCATTTAAATGGTCTATGGATCTTTTACACAAATACCTGTAGCTTATTCATCAAGCAAACGGAGATAGATGTTCATACAGACTACGAGGCCGGATGTAATCGCCATCACAGGAGCTTAGCAGTCCGTAGAAAAAAGGTAACATGATTCTGAGGATTTCACCGTAGCAAGAGCTGACAGAATTGAGGAGCGCAAAAAAGGAGTAGCCTTTTTTAGTAATATTATTCTTAGATAGATAACATATCCTAAGAAAGTGTAACATACTAACCAGCGTGTTGCCGTTTGGAATGAAAAGGAGAATAACAGCTGATCGGCTTGGTTTACTACCGTCCAAACCATGAGATGGGTAAGGTCTCGCTAGACAGTTTCAACACTTGGTCGACGAATTGTCAGTGTTCAGACCCGGGTGACGTACGGCAGACTAGATAAATCTAAGGACTGAACTGTCAGGAAATTCATTCAAACAAAAAATATTCAACTCGGTTATTATGTGTGTTTTAGTGCTTCATGAGAAAGAAGCAACTGTTTAACACTCATACTCTGAATCATGTTCACTAGATCTCATATAGACCGGTTATGAAGACGACGTCACAAACCTATACTATATGTCACCCTTAGGTAATAGTGACTAGACAGTTCTTATCTTTGATTATCATGTCGTTGTCAACAGCGATCTGTCACGTCAAGAGGGACCAAACGTTTGAAAAGCAAATATATAAGAGATTATGCACTCAACATTCTCAGCAGATATTATAATAAAATCTTCCATTGAAATGGCTGGTGAGATATTCAGAAATCTGCACATAAGATTTACTGTACCACACTTCCTTTCGAACATATCAAGAAATTCAAAAAAACTCACCAACACGGGTGAGTTTGATGTGTAGGGCCAGTGTAATTTCACTAAGCCCTAGCCAAGTTATCCGGAAGCCGGGTCATTGAATATTGATCAAATCATCGATCCTCATCAAGGACAACCAACAGTTAATCGTACGCCGTGGTCTAGCCCGTGCGGCAGTGCTCTCACTTTCGATTTTATCTCCTTTGAGTTATATATTTTTTAATAACGTCCTGTGAGTTGTTTAGTCTTCAGAGCGTCTATAGTACCTTGATACGTCAAAGGGGTAGTCCATGTAAGGTGCTGACCACGAGGTGTGACTTCGACGTTATCTGGTTCGTCACACCACTCCCGTCTAAATCGAGTAGGCCTCCGATCATTCGGCACAGATCATCTAGGCTGATGATTTACACTGGTGAGCCCGACGTGAGAGACTAATTATGTGTGGGTGGATTAAGTTCTTGGGTGCTGATAAAACAAAACCTCAGCACCAGGGAACCCAAAATATATGCTCCTCGACCATCCGCATGTTATGAAGATTACATGAAGTAAAACTTGTTAGGGAGTCAATAGAATACATTAAACACCTGTATTCGTACATAAACCAAAGGACTAAGGGAAGAGGTAGCATCCCAGTGTTATTGAAAGTTGTATTACATCATGATTTGAAGACGATCGTTGCAATGTATATACCACAGAGATGCCTTACCTTTCAGTTCATACAAACTCTCCCCCCGTGCACACTCTGGACTAATGGCTTTGGATTGCTAAATAAGCTTCATATAGGTAAATCTAGGGGACCGGATTAAATGCACTGTATATTATGGAAGGGACTAGCGAATTTTGTCACAAATCTTTTGAGAATCTATTTCAATCTGTCTAGGACTCAATTAGGATCATCGAAAGACTAGAAGAACGCCAAAGTATGTACGAGACACAAATCTAAGAATTTTCGATACTTAAGACTGTAAAATTACGTCTATTTCATTCTCAGTACATTTACCTTTACTACTATATTAACAGATTTAATTTAAAAATCGTAGATTTCTAATGAAGTTACCACCTAACCTGGAAGATCTTACGTGGAAACCACTTCATTCTCTACACGAACTAGTCATATCGTGACAACAAGCAATATGACGACTAACACTTCTGAAGCACACATCTGGGTTGGATAGGGAGTGATGTATTCAATACCGAAAAAAACAACAAGTTGTGTATAGAGAGTACGCCCGAAAGGCTCAGCCATACCATCCCGAACAATTATCTCCTCCTCCATGCGTCACCTGTTGACTGTCCATCTTATTGGTGATTATATGTTCAGCTTCAGAAATCATGTAGTTAGGAACCAATATCACTAAAAGCCTAACCAGCATGGCTGTCAACGTTTTAGTAAAAATTGTTGGGATGTATGAAGACGAAAACTAGGTTCTTTTTCAAAAGAAGCACGAAATTAGAATAAGTATTTTATGTCTCATAAAATAATTAGTAGCCCATGAAAGTTGGTCCACTCTTAAATATCAAAAACCGCTTACAGACGTAGTCTTTACAATTGTTTTAACACCGAGTAGTGACCATTGGTATGTGTGTCAGGTCCTCCTTAATGCAGATAGAATTCTGTCGACCAAGTTGCGATATGGTCACTAGTCTGGGTAACTCGATATTGCGCGCAGTATGTTGAGACTGTTATACCGTGAGTCAGCACTCGACACTTCTTTGGAAACCTTATCTTATAGTATTGGAAGGTTTGTCAGAATTTTAAACAACTCTACAGAAACAAGCAAGTAGCAAGTGGCATAATAATAATAATTTATTATCAAAAAACAGTTAAATACATGAGGCATGCCAGTTTACAGGCAAGATCGAATTGTTACAATTTACACAATTTACACTGTAGTAAATTACACAGCTGGGATAATTTATAAGATATGAATGTAGATTATTTTAGCCAGTATCACAGCTGGCGCGCTCTATGAAAGTTGCGTTGCAACGTGCAAGTGAAGGTTGAGGATAGACCCATTGAAGTTGAGGGCTTCTAGAAATCACAAGCTTATATCCCTTTGGAATTTATGAGGCTTTAATGATGGTGCAGGACGAAATCACCCGTTCCGCTTCTGTTTTCAGTGGCATATCTCAAGGGGGCTGAAAAGGGGTGCAAGAAAAAAAGGACGAGGGGCAGAGCAGACATTTTTCACGAAGAAATATTTAAGGTGTGGCTACTCAGTCTAATTCTCTTTCAATAAAGTAATTATTACTCAGCGGCATTCTAATAGGTTAAAGAAAATATGTGTTAACAAGATATGAACGGATGAGCAAATGACAATGGTGAGTTTTTTCAAAAAACAGGTTAGGTTATATGTGGTTTAAAGATAATAAGGACTAATAGCAAATCAAGGGACATGAAAGAGCATAAAATTGTAAAATTTTCAGGGTAAGAAAAATGAAACATTGAGAAACTCACTAGACTTTATGACCAATTTTGAGCTTCGTATGACCGGCCTTAGTAGATCAGCATCCATAAGATTATTGAGTTATCTGTCTACTTGCAATACAAAAAAAGACATGACAATTAGGAAGAATAATGTATATTTAACCCGTAGAGAGATTTGAGAACCAAAAGTAGCGGTTAGGAGCATAAGGCCATGATTAATAAACAATGAATAATAGGAAAGGTTAAACCAAGTGCTCTGTAATTTAGTTATATTCATAATAATAACAATGAGGCTCGTTATATTCTTTTTCCGTTTAGATATTATGTGGTGCGTAATAAAGTAGCTCTTTGGTGAGTGAAAGTTCAAGGAAAAGTTATAGCTCCTTAGAGTGTAGAAAAAGGGTTATTAGCATTTTGAATCTGGTAAGTGTTACAGTTACGGATAGGTAATTGAAACGTGTTCCACAGTAAACTATACCGTGCTGTAAAAAACTTACAACGCATTTGTTTTTAGTGTTTTATGGTAAGTAGTGTATATGAGTTGTTTCTTAGTCTATAGGCTGGGTCGTGGATCATAGTTGGGCAGGAGGTTAAGAATGCGAGTCCATATGTCGCTTTGTAGAGAAATGTTAAATTATTCTTTAGCCTACGGTGCCATAACGGTCCTGAAGAGAGATGCTTACATCTATCTGTGTAATCTAGATTGGAGTTACTTCTTAGCAGTTGGCATGTGAAGCGTCTCTGAAAGTCTTCTACCCTTATCTTGTCTGTGGTATTCATATTAGAGAAGATAAAACAGGAGTATTCAAGGGAAAGTGGCGCACATATTTTGTAGCGAAAGCTTAGCCTATGTTGTGAAGAAAGTTTGGATTATGAAACTAATTTGCCGTCTACATTTAGAAATAATAGAGAAGGCATGTTCTTCAAAGTTCAGGCTTCCTGTGTAATTAATTTCTAGGTTGTGTACTGATTTGAGTGTTTGGACTCTATTTTTACTTAAGTGAAGTTGCAGTTTATAGGAATGCTTTACAAAGTGCACGATCCCACACTTGTAGAGGTTAAATGGTAATTGCCATTTTTCACTCCAGATAGTTAAGTTATTGAGGTCATTTTGGATCAGGGGTACACTTTCGTTTCGAGTCTCAGGCTTATAGCTGTATACAATTTTGAGATCATCAGCATATAAGTATGTTTTCCCAAATTTTATGATGTTACATATATTGTTTATATACATAAGAAATAAGAGTGGACCTAATACGCTTCCCTGGATGACTCCACTAGTTATTGGTCCAGGTGATGATAGACAGTCATTGTACTTTAC